AATAAGAAAATACATGAATAAATACTTATGCCCTTTAATCCAGTTACTAACAATTAATTCAAATGTAGGTTTAAAACATCTGTATTTGAGCACTGCAATGCACTCACATTTTAAAGATAGCCTACATTTTTAAGATGCATGGGTAAACTTCCTGGGAGCGATGGATGGACTGATGCCTTTGGAGATGTGCTGGCCTCAGTCAGAGGAGCACAGAGCTCTGCTAACTCCCCCGTCAACAACTAGTCCTGACGGGTTGTCTGCGCGTGAGACCAGCCACGTGAAGCAATCCAAACGATAGCCTCAAAACTGCCTGACAGTGGGAGAAAGTGGGGTGTGCGGCCTGAGCCTTCTCCTGTCCTGGCCCTAATGCTCCAAATGAGGCTGTTTGTACATGGGAGGATGGGGGGGGGGGGGGGGTCTCAGCTCAAAGACAGGGGGCTCAAAGACAGGGGCAGAGCTAAGTGAGTCAGCCTCAGAGCCATATGAGCTGGCAGCTTGTCACATCCACAGACATCACATGGACCCCACCACTGCACGTGTCACTGTACACCCAAATAGTTATGACCAGTGTGGATTTAAAGATAGAGATGTGTACACAGAAACACTTTTTATTGTTGATTTATTGATTAGAACCTGAACATAGTAAGAAACACCAAAAATCATATTACATAGAGGATGGAACTGTCTGTTAAACCTGTACTTTTATTTTGAAATTCCTGCTATACCTCACTAAAATAGGAAGCTTACTGCCACATTGATCTGCTGTGCTTGTGTAAAGAATAGTGTAATATATATGCAATAATGAACACAGGCTGTTTACATTGGCATTTGCAACACACACTACAGCCTCTCATTGGAATATTCATGCCAATTAAAAATGAGAATCTAAAAATAGATGGTGATTAGGTTGGAGTAGGATGGTATGAAAATGAGCACTGTGTTATATTAACTATTTATTCTTTAAACATTAAGGTCCTCAGAAGGGCTGACTGTGGAGCTAATGCCCAAATGTGAATTCATGGTGTTTTAGAAGAAGCTAATTAAAAACTTGACTGCCATCAAAATGGAAATTGCATTTTCTCCATTAAATGCAGGGGATTATGATTTTTGAAATTAATATGGTAATTTTACTCGTTTTACTGAAACAGAGAAATCGGAAAAGACAAATATAATGCTGTGTGACTATTGTTGTTCTCAAGATGTCAAATAATTCTTCCTTGAATCTTTAACACTGCTACTATAGGGCTATTTCTAATCATCGTTCATCTTTAGTAACCCTGACCTTTTCTTGTGTCTCAACATTTTCATGTATGTTTTGTGTTCAAAGCCATTTGCTCTTCTGACTGAAAAACACATAATCAAAATCACACATGTGCTCTGACTTAGGTAAGATGCTCATTTCCTCAAAAGCTCTTCATTGTGGGTGATCATACAGATGATAACTGAATGAAATAAATAATGAATAATGATCTTTGATATCTTGGCTTTGTTTCCTACTGTCATTCTTTCTCCTGTCTAGAGTGTCTTCTGTGCAAGAGTAAATACAGGTAGGGATTCCTTGACACTGCCCATTCCCACAGTAGAGCTCAGGTCCTGTGACATGGGTGCTGTCACAGGTAACAGATCTGGCCATTTGCAGTGGAAGAAAATACTGGGCTGCTCCGCTCTCTTGGGGCTAAAGTTACTGTTGGTTGTTGTTTCTTAAACCTTAACACCTCAGTCCATGCATCTCTCTGCACTTCTCCACTGAGCTCTGGTTTCAGCTCCTGTCTCTCTGTGAACAGTAGGCACATGAATCTGACAAGAGCCAAATATGCATTTGATCAGCTCAGTGAGTGCTCAGCTTTGACACAAGATCAGCTGCAAGGCACTCAGTGTGGGGGCCCTGAGCTTGTCCCATGAAATGTTTTTTTCTTTGGCTTCAATATTCCATAATATCACATACAACATTTCCTTCTTTATGGAGAATGTTCCAAAGTATGGTTTTATCTTTGTATTTCTATGGCATCATGCAGGTGATGTTCCACCTTTAAAACTTATAGTGTTGCTTAAATCTGAAAAGGTCCCTTGGCAGATGGTCTCAGTGGCGTAGTGTAGTTGCACAAGGCCTCGGTGCAAGCCTGGCACTCCCTCCAACTAGGAAACTGTGAACTGGGGGGAAGGGGGGGTTATGTTGTTTATGCTGACAGTTGTTTATACTGAGTCAGTATTGGGGAGGGGGGCTAATCCTGCACCGTGATGGGCCCACGAAGTGCCTCAAGGTGCATTGCACTAGGGGCACTGCCGAATGCTAATACTACACCACTGGATGGTCTGAACATGAGTAGCTGTTATCTTTCCACTCAAATATGGGCACGCCCATGACAAAACTGTAATCCTGGTCATTTTTTTATTTCATATAAAATAATAACATCCACATGTAATGGAAATTTCCTTCCCACTCCTTTTCCAATCAAAAAAGAAGCAGTGAAGTATAAAACCCCATATTGAGTCATGTATAGGATGTGAAAGCTATTAGAGAGGCAAAGACAAAGGCCCGATCTGTGGGAAGAGCTGGGGACGATCCTCACTCAAGACACAGAGAGCGGTGTCCATGTCTCTCTTTCTGCAAACAAACAAAAAGTAAACACCAGCGGAGGAAACTACAGTGACACATGATGCTGCCCATGGCTCCTCCACCTGCCCACTCAGGTTTCCCATAAGGCCATTCTGCCGGCCATGGGACAAAAGCAGCGCAAAAAGCCAACACCTCAACCCCCCCGAGGTGCCAGCAGACAAAGGAGCGAGGAAAAAAAGCCATACAGCGTCTTTGTTTGCTCAGATTAAAACATGTAGCATTCCCCGAGCGCTCCCCTCACAGCCTCTCACCAGCTCCACTCCCCAGGGGAAACTCAGGAGAACTCTGCATGCCCGCCTCCATCCTTCATCTCAAAAAATCTGTTTGTTTGTGTATAGTTGTCATTGGGTACATTTACATGACCACAAAAACAAAACAAACAAAAAAACACTCGAATCAGATCACCCAGTGATTAGATCTGATTTTTGGAGTGCGTTTAGAAGTTCAAGATAAACTAGTGCATTTGAAAGGCAAAGTACAAAGACTTTTAAATACCTCTTTTTATCTTTCACATCTGACCATCTCATCTCAACATCTGTGTGACTGCCACATTAGCTTGAACTTATATGCATCATTTGCCTTGACAAAACATGCACAGGTGTGAACAACCAGAGAGAAAATATATAACTCACATCAGAGGTAGAGTTTACAGGATGTCAATAATCTGAACTCCAGAAATCAGATAATGATCCAAATTCTCTCCCACTGAGAGATCAAATGTATCAGTCAAAAAGGCTCTCTGCATGTAAACATGAAAAATAAAACACTGCAATTTCCAAATACAAATGATAAAAGCAATTATTATTAGTAATTAATTAAGTAGAAAAAAATGCATACAAAACCATTTTAAGCATTTGTTATTTCCTCACATAAAACATACCGGAACTTGTATTTTGTTTGATTTAGTAATTATTTATCCATTTTCCATCTATCTTTGCAGAGCTCCAAGTCTCTTCCAGCATGTTCTAGTATACACTTTTATAGCGCAAATCACTCAGATCATATGTCCTTAAAAATCCATTTAAATGCACCTAGAATTAGCACCAGTTTGTACAAGCTGATTTAACTTCCCAGTAAAAGTTTGATTCAGCTAAAACATTTTGTTTTGTTTGCTCAGAACCTGGACTTGAGCTACATCTCTGGAGCAGGCACATGAATGAGGAGCATCAGCATATAGTGGCCTTGCTGATTTTTGGTGACTGAATATGGGTTGCCAAAAAGAAATCCTTTAATCCATTAAAATGAGAGGAATTCATTCATGGAAGAGCTGTGTGGATAAATAACTTTGATAATGTGACATTTTGAGAGCCATATATTTACAACAGTGGACAATAAAAACAGACTTCCTCATGTTATTCCCACCTTGACTCAAAGTTAATACAAGAAAACAAACACATCAAATGCACCAATCTACCACTACACAACAATGTATAGCGTGACAGAGAGGAGGAGGCCCCAGAGACCTGCACTTACTCTGCGGGGGTTTTAGCCAATCTGGCAACCGCAGTAGGAGGTCCCACTCTCATCAGCCCTTAAGATCCAGACCACTTGACTATCTTTTGTCACTCTCTAGTCCTCACTGGCTTGTTATTAAAGTGTACATGTGATGTGCCTGGAGTATGTCATTAACTATACTCTTTGGATTTCTCTTCTAAACCTAACTACTTCACCACACCACAATTGAATAATAATACAAAAAAAAACATGCAAAATATCTTTCAAAAGTCTGACAATATCAGAAAAAACACATTAATGTAAACTTCAAACAACCACAATACTTAAACTGTAATCAAATAGTTTTGTGAATTTGTCTTGATCTGGTATAAATTCTCATGACAATAAAAAACTAATATTTTGTGTTGAAATGTATATTTTATTGCCTAAATTTATTTTCAATTATCATTATGATCTCAAAATGAGTACTATTTTGGTCAGTAGGTAGTGGTAACTAAAAGCTTTTTTGTTTTACTCTCATTTCTTTATCTTTCTAAATCCTTCGAAAACAGTGTCTTCTTGTGACCAGTTAGACTAAAACATACAAGTCCATGTTTAAAGTTCCTCCCTGCTGTACAAACATGCATTAAAATAAGCTCTGAGAAAGTGTGAAGTGGAGGTGTATTGAGGGGCTGTGTAAGCTGGGCTAATCCCCCTTCAGTGCATTTGTTGTGTCATTAGAGCTGTATGGAGCAGGGATCCTGTGACACGGGTCCTATTCACTCCCATAGCCCTCAGCGACTTCACTGCGCAGCGCCAGTGTTGTGTGGAGCCGCTTTATGCCGCGGAGGATTTTCAAAGATGGGATCGTCCCTTTAAGACCACACAGGACCTCTCCCTTAAGAATAGAAAACACAAGAGCACACAAAGGTAAAAAACAACAAACAAATTTTCAAGTTGAAAGTTAAGCTTTATTTTTATGCTTCACCCATCACAAAGGATGTCCTCTGCAAGTAGCTTACTCTTTTGTCCAGTAAACTACAGAATACATTATGACCACCAATAATTTTATGGTAACATGTCTATTATCCAGCACTATGTGAAACCATCAGCATTCTTTCACTACATTAAGACTTATTTATATTTTATTTTAACAGGGACCAATTGCAAACGCATTCATCTCGTTACAGAAGAGATGCTTTACACCAGATTTGGCTAAAGCTAGTTTCCATCTGCAGTTCCTGGGCAGGTTAATAATATAAGATTTGAGCAATTTAACAAAGTACAGTACATCTCAAACACAGTTTCTCTACAGTTATCAGTATCAGTCCAAGCAACATATTTTAAGATTACAATCCAAGAGCTGGGACGCTCTACTTCAGTCGCCACTTTTGGAAGAAAGATGGTGTCAGAATACATTTTTATATACACAGGTTTCAGCTTCCTGATTCAAAAGAGTACCATTTTATATTGAATAGGTTGATGTCATTTCAGATGAAGGGCAGGGGCCTATGCAACTCTATGGGAGATTCACTGGCTTGAAAAATATCAAAATGATCCACAAATGTTAAACCTTATTGTTTGTCAGAAACTGCCTCACCTACTGTCTGAGCCATATTAATGTTATGGCATAACGCTGCTATCAACAGATCGCAGATTGCATTTGTAAATGAAGAAATCCTCCATAAGAGAGACATAAGAGCTGTGCTTTGCAAATAGTACCCTCCCATTCAGTACAGTACATACAGTAGCTGCTGAATTTAGTGTTCCAGTTACAGCAGCCATTAACATGAAAAGTGACCTGATACTGCACCACAGTGACACTCAAAGACAGGCCTTGGCTTTCCTCCCATTCAAAGTGAGAGTACACATCTTTTACATTCAGGATTCTCTCTGTAAAAGCGTCACATCTGAAGTAACATTTATAGCCTGCAGTACAAATTTATACAGCATAGTACCTGTAATATAGCAGAGAAAAAGTTTAACTGTGCATCATCTTATTTTCAGCAGTAAATTAAGTGTTATGGATAATGGCATTTTTGAATGGCACCATGCAGTATGTAAGGCAGAGATACAATGTTCTGAGAGATGCATGTAATAAAGCATAATATATTGAGATGTGAGAACCAAATGAGCCCAAGGAAGATTTTGGCGTATCTATGAGTAGGGATTTTCACCATTTTTATTGGCACAGAGACAATGTTGTGTTTTCTTACTCATCAAAAAGTAATTTGCAAGTAAAAAAAAACAAGTTAGTATACCTAAAAATGTTCCACAAAAACCTAACTTGGGCCCATTTAGTTCTGCTTAAGCCCTCTAAAAATAATCAGTGCTACTACTCAAAGGCTTTTGTCATACATTAATAATATTTCCACACTATTGCCATCAAATCACATAGCAACCACACATCACCATCACCCATGGTACAGTGTATTGTACCCTCCATTGATTGTGTGAGGTAGCATCAATTCACTGTAAACCAAACTTAAGACATAATACAGTACCATGTGTTAAAACAAACATCTGAGAGTAGCTGTATTGCTGTTGCCCGCTTATTGCTGGCATTTTAAAACATAAAATGGCTCAGTGGATAAAAAAGCTTTGAGACTATTCACTCTTACAACAAGAGCTGAGTGCTACTATTAAACGCAATTTTCTCTTTCATCATCAAAATAAATACATTACCTCTTTATGCATTTGCCCAGACAAACAAGCAGCCTCCATGTCACTCGCTCATAAATAAGGCTAGGGAGATGAGGAGTTGTGCTAATTGTGCGGTAAAGTATACTAGTAAATATGGCCATCTCCAAACAAAGGATGTGAATGGCATGGCTAATTCCCACTCAAGAGGGCTCAAGTGGGGTGAAAGAGACCAGCATATAGGCCCTCTGTTCATTTGGGTTGGTCTTTTAGCTGGTGTTCCCTGAGAGCTCCAGTGAATGTGGCGGTCCACACGTGCAGGGCTGTAGCGGCCGACAGAGTGAGGAAGAAGAGGAAGGCCACTTGGAAGCCGAACCAGTCTACGACTCCACCGGCCAGAGCGCTGAACGTCAACTTCCCCAGCACCTCCAAAGTCGCCAAGAAGCTGTAGTGCGTGGCCTGAAAGCAGAGGTGAATAGGTCAATGTTTGAATACTGTCACACAGAGCTCAAATGAACTATTATTTATTCTAGTTGCTTAAATGTGCACTATGTAACTTTTGGGTTTGGGATCCATCATCTGCTTGTTTCTATTGATATGTCATTTCTCTGCCTGGAATGTTCCATAGTTAAACAGCTCTGCCTTATATTTATTCAATTACAGGTGTTTTTATTGTTCAAAAATACCTAAAAAAACCCAGACATTTCAAGAAGATAGAAAGGTTTGATACCATACTATGAAACATTCCAGATAAAGTTACACTATTTCCATGTAGAAAATAATTTGACGGACCAACAGAAAAGACTTTGAAAATCTTTGATCTAACAATTAGGTGTTTTATTAATCTTTTTTTTTTTTTTTTTTAAACTAAATTTGACCCAAATGAGGCTCAAGTGATGCTGTTTAAGGAATATATTCACAGACAAAATAGCTTTTTCTTCAATACTCAATTACAAGCAAAGTAAAGGTTACGTTACAAATGACTTAACAAACTTGATGTTGTAATGATATCTGTAATCTACTTTAGCTGTCAGTGTATTCATTCAGGTGGAAGGTAACTTTTGTCACCTTAGGTCAGGCTGGGAGAAACGTGACTGCCATTCTATCAGAGGAACTCCAAAAGAACACATGAATTCTTATGGATGGGTAAGGTGTGCTGCCCAAGGACATCTCAACAGAAACCGGAAAGAGCAGGATTTAAACTGCTGACTTTACAATTACTAAACAACCACTACATTTTGGACTAAAACAGTATATGCTCAAAATACATAAATGAAAACATACCTAATTAACTTCATGACAGTAACTTAATAATTATGTTACTTCTACTTGGTAGAAAATAGAAAGAAAATAGAAAGTATTAAACGTGAGGTGAAATCAGATCAGGGAAAGGAAAGGTTGGGTAAAGAAAGACAAACATTGTCAGAAAAGGCAGCGTTAGATGGAGAGAGAGATTATGAAGCAGAAAAACTTAAAGAGTGGGGATTGATTCCTATCAGTTGTGCTGCATCACGTGAGCGATACTGAACACTGAAAACAGTTAATAGAAAATGTGTGAAAACTTTAGTTGAAAGCCCCAAAGTGCAGGAGGACACAATGGAAGAGAAGAATAAAGAGGATAAGACACCTGAAAGAGAAAGCGTGAGATCATGGCCCCAGATGCTGGAGAGGCGCCAAGAGGAGAACAGGATCTGCGCAGCCTTTGGGCTTTCCACAGAGAGACAGAGATTACCTAATGTAGCAGCAGGCCTCCTCCCTGTACCTGAATGCACCATGCACAAAATACACTAAATGCATAAAATACACCAAACGAACACACTCTGAATGGACATACTGATTTATTATACTTACTCAATAAAAACAAATCGGAAACAGGATCTGCAATTCATAATTACACCTTTTAGATGGCTTAGAATCTGAATCACAAGAAAAATAATGTATACAAATGTATAAAAATCTATTCTAAGAGCTATCAAGTCTTTCACAAAAAAAACAACAACAAAAAACTGTTTATTAGGTTGGTTATACACAGGTAGAATTATATATATTTTTTAGAATGTAAGTGCACAAAAACATTTTGCTTTAAAGCCTCCACATACCTTTTTAGCCAGAAATAGACATAATTAAAAGCATGCAAGAGGGGTGCAAGTTTTTAAGTGCATCTCCACCTGCTTGTCTTCCTGGAAATGTCCCTTTTGCTATAATATTCCACAATATGACATGACATATTATCTTCCAAAGTACAGTTTCAACTTTCTATAACTATCTCCATGGATTCATGCACATGATGTGCCACCTCTATAATCTATTTATCATAGATCCAGCCATCTCAAAACAAAAATAATATTAGAAATTAACCGCAATTTGTGGCTTGTGGTGTAACTTGTTGTGTTAACACAATTTTTGTCACCGTTTGTTACCGTTTGTCACTGATGAATAAAAACTAACCTCAGAGTGAAGTGGTGTGAGACTGCAGTGGTGCGAGGTGTGAGGCTGCAGCGGTGTGAAGGTGCAGTGCTGCATTTGGGCCTAACTGGAGCCTAGAGTATGGTGTGCAGACAGCAGGAGGGGGCGCTGAGAGAGGCCTATGTGAGCGACCACAGCTAAGTGGAGTGCCTTTATTCTGAGCAACTTGTTTAACAGATTCAGTTTCTTTCTCCTGGGGATCGTTAACAAGCACTCACGCTATCAGCTTTCAGTCACTGGATACACTACCTTCAGTACACACACACAAATGCCATCTACACATGCTGATTCACACACTAAAACGCACACAGGAAATGTGTTGTGAATGCTTCTCAAATTAACCCTGGTTCTCATCATGGCATGTTGTGATTGCTGCACATTTCTCGATAATTTATTTTATTAGTAACAAGATCCTGACTGCTGTGATCCAAGCTGTGACACCCCCTCCCCTTTTCTTTTCATTTTAAACTGACAGCAATTTAGATGATAATTTGTCACTTTGGGAGATTGACAGAGGCAAGTCTGAATGGGTGCGTTAACAGCTCACCCCCGGGCACTTACAGCCCAGTTACAGTCGGGACAAAAGAGGGGGACCGCGGAGGAGGAGAAAGTGTTTAAAAGAATAGAAACAGAGGTGCCATGACGAACAATGGTGAAACATACAGAATCCCCCCATGAGAAGAGCTAGTGGTCTGCAGAGATTTTCCATGTGACAGTGACAGGTGAGGCGATGACAGGCGAATAGGTGACGCTAGGTGTGGTACTGTATGTTCTGTTCAAGCTCCCTTTGAAAAGACATGACCTAATCAAATGGCATGATTACAGAGAGGGAAGGAAACCATTACCGATTACGACATCTGCTTGAAAAAAGGTTTAGACTCATAAATCCGTCAATGGTGGCTCCAGTTTCGAGCTTTTGGTCCATTAAGATGCATCAAACACTATATAGATGTGTGTGTGTGTGTGCCTATAGTGTGTATATAGTATGTGTAATAATATATATACATACATACATACATACATATACATACATACATACATACACACACACATACACATACATACATACACACATACACACACACACACACACACACACACACACACACACACACACACACACACACACACACACACACACACACACACACACACACACACACACACATACACATATATACACACACACATACATATATATGTAATTAGGGCCGGGCACGTTAACGCGTTAACTTTGCGTTAACTAATCAAGTCATTAACGCCGACAATTATTTTAATGCCATTAACGCAGTTTTTATTATGTTTTTATTATTCATTTATTTTATTGTAAAAGCCTGTTTCTCACTGGCTTTTATTTTGAAAAAGTCCACTGCGAGCGTTTCTTTAAGTTTGACGTCTTTTCTTTACACTTTTTTCACTTTTTTCTGAGCACGTGAGATGCAATGGCCGCGGGCTCTGGCCGCGGGCTCCGACTCCGGCCGCGGACTCAGCCGCGGACTCAGCCGCTTGCACCGGCTCTGAGCTGAGCTTATTTCTTTAGTTCAGTGCTGGAGTAACTGATTTACCCAGATACCATTGGAAGAAAAAAATGTGATTGGTCCATTTCCATTCCATTATATTAACCCTTTGTTTCCTAAGAAATATCAGTCCAAGTTCAGTCCAACACTGATCTAGAAATTATTACTAGTGTAGTGTTCATTACTCACAGCATAAAAAATATTCAATAAATATATTAGTAGTACAAATTCATTCAATATTTTTTCTTGAGCCTTCCCTGAATACCTTGAAGGCTCTGAGGGTTTCCCTGTGAAAGAAATGCTGTTTGCGCAACAAATGTATGTCTCTTTCATTTACATTTCCAATAAAAGAGCGCTATACTCTACTTTTTAATTCATTAATTGGTTTTGCGTATAACATGCGATTAATCGTGATAGAGAGAGAGAGAGAGAGAGAGAGAGACGCACACACACACACACACACACACACATACATATACACAGTCATGGATACAATTGTTGGTACCCCACTTGAAACTGATAACTAAATAATGAAACTGGCATGGACAAAAATTATGGTACCCTTAACTTAGTATTTTGTTACACAACCTTTTGAGGCAAACTCTGCAAGCAGATGATTTCTGTAAGTGTCAATGAGACTTCTGCACTGGTCAATAGGTATTGTGACCCATTTCTCATGAGCAAAACGCTCTAGTTGCCTTAGGTTTGAAGGGTTTCTTCTCCAGACATCATGTTTCAGCTCCTTTCACAGATGTTCAATAGAATTGAGATCTGGGCTCACAGATCGCTGTAGAACAGTCCAGTGTTTTGTTTTTAGTAATTCTTGGGTGTTTTTAGCTGTGTGTTTTGTTATCCTGTTGGAAGTCCCATGACCTATGACTGAGACCAAGCTTTCTGACACTAGGCAACACCTGACACCCTGTGTAGGGACAGTGTTCTTTTCTTGGTGTGCTTCATTTTTGCATTTGTGAACATAGAGCTGATGTGCTTTGCCAAAGAGCTTCAGTTTTGTCTCATCTATCCAAAGGACATTCTCCCAGAAGCTTTGTGGCTTGTCAATATGCACTGTGACAAATTCCAGTCTCACTTTTTTATGATTTGCTCTCAACAGTTGTGTCCTCACATGAAGTCCACTTTGGCTCAAACAGTGACGGATGGTGTAATCTGACACCGATGTACCTTGCCCTCCAAGTTCACATTTAATTTGTTTGGAGGTTGTTCTGGGCTCTTTGGTTACCATTTGTATGATCCATCTCTTCAATTTGTCATAAATTTTCCTCTTGCGGCCACATCCAGGGAGGTTGGCTACAGTCCTGTGGACATTAAACAGTCCTGTGGATCATGGCAGGACATCCCCCTACATGGGGCGTACCACTGGAACATAACTGAAGTGGCTGATATCAAGAAATCCTACCAATGGCTTGAGAGGGCTGGTCTGAAGGACAGCACAGAAGCACTCATCCTGGCTGCACAGGAGCAGGCCCTGGGCACGCGAGCAATAGAGGCCCAGATCTACAACACCAGACAAGACCCACGGTGTAGGCTGTGCAAAGAGGCTCCTGAAACAGTCCAGCACATAAGCAGGGTGTAAGATGCTGGCAGGGAAAGCATACATGGAGCGACGTAACAAAGTGGCGGGCATAGTGTACAGAAACATCCGTGCAGAGTACGGGCTGGAGACCCCAGGATCAAGGTGGGAAACACCTCCAAAGGTTGTGGAGAATGACCGAGCCAAGATCCTGTGGGACTTCCAGATACAGACTGACAGAATGGTGATGGCGAACCAACCAGACATAGTGTTGGTGGATAAGAAACAGAGCAGAGCCGTGGTGGTTGACATCGCAATACCAAGCGATGGTAATATCAGGAAAAAGGATCACGAGAAACTAGAGAAATACCAGGGGCTCAAGGAGGAGCTGGAGAAAGCCTGGAAAGTAAGGGCATCAGCGGTGCTTGTGGTAATCGGAGCACTTGGGGCCGTCATCCCCAAACTGGAAGAGTGGCTACAACAGATACCGGGAAAAACAACAGACATCTCAGTCCAGAAAAGTGCAGTACTGGGAACAGCAAAGATACTGCGCAGAACTCTCAAGCTCCCAGGCCTCTGGTAGAGGACCCGAGCTGGATGAGACCTACCACCATGGAAGGTGATAAACACACAGATATAAAGATATATATATATATATATATATATATAAATAATACATCTATATACATATACATATATTATACAGAAAGCAATGATATAAAAATATGACCAGCCGACTACTAAAATAATTGTTAGCCCTATACTGTAATTATATGTTGGAGGATTTTTAACCATTTCAATTATAGAACTGCAGAATAGTTTTACTTTTAAAACTAAATAAAACACATTCAGATTTACCTTCATTGTAATTTCATAAAGTCTTTATTAAAGCCTTTATAAAATGAATGTATAATTTTACTAGGGTGTGTATTTTTTCCTACTGAAACTGGTAGGTTATTGCTGCAGATCTCAAAGCGTCGAGGAGAGACCTACCTGGATGCTTTCCTCAGCCCTTTGAGTACAATGCATCATGGTCGTGAAAGTGAGCGTGGTGATGAGACCACCCAGGAAGTGCTGAACACTCATACTGAGGACAGCCATACCTACAGAAACACAAGAGCCAAATCAAAACCTCACACAAATAACAAGTGGAGCAGCGCTGACTTAAACAATGGGAACTAACTTCTCTTTCTGCAGAAAACTATCAATTTGACAATATTCTGTGCACAGCGCTGCTCGCCTCTGTACTGTATGTCAAAGCAGAGACAAAGCAGTTGGAAACGGTGAGCTGCTGAAGTGTCTCTAACTCCGCTGTTCCCCAAACACATGTAGTGTATCCTCTGAGGGGAAGTGGCAGAAACACAAGAACCACAGAGCCCGGTGAGCGCTGAATTATTCACCCAAGCTGCAGACTTTCTGCCGAATAAGAGTCTTCAGTCAGACACGAGACGAGGAGCCACTGATCAGTCTGGAGGAATGCGCAGTGTTATCATGTAATATTGAAAAATAGGAAAGTGAATGTTTTGGGTTTTTACGCCTGGATCTTTGTACTGTATGTAAAGTGGCGAGGAGCTAGGCCTGAGCTTTCAGACTGAGGGGCTTGATTGGGGAACAGACAGCTCTTGCAGAGATAAATAGCATGGATATGAATCCCAAATGTTTGCGGCTTGCTGTGCAATGGAATAAGACGTGTCATTCAGACACCACTGAATGGCTCTCTGGAGAGACATGGCACCTGTCTATCAATGTCCCAACTGTAGTCCACATTACTACTTAGAAACAACACATGAACTTTTACTTTATTTTAACTTAAAGAATTATATATTTGTTACTTTTTTGGTTTTCAGTGTCACCAGTAAAATGTATTTTGTATTACCAAATCATCTGAAATTTGGGCAAAAGTAAATCCTAAATATATTTTCACAAAATGAAACAAAATCACACATTTAGCTCAACTTTATGACTACATTGTTAAATTAAGTAGTAGGATACTAACAGTGACATAGTCATTTAAACATATGACATACATAGAGAATGATCTAAACATTGTACAATTGCTATTTGTTCAGACAGTGTGGCCTCACCTTTCATGAGAGGTGATGGCTCCAGCACAGTGAGCAGTGAACTCTGAAAGACCATGCTGACGGTTCTCAGCACAAACACACGTCGCATCAGAGCTCCGATGCTGCAGAGACCAACAAACAAAGCACCAATCAAAAGACTCACACTTCAACTTCTCCTGTGCAATATCGATGAGAAGCAGTAGTATCCACGGCGACAAACTTTAAGGCACTGTCAGACGCGCACACATACACACAAACGCATGTGCACGTGAGCTGGTAAACAAGTCTCCAGACACTAATTGATACCCCGTTAGTGCAAGAAAATGGTCCCCCTGTGGGTTTGCTTCATGACGTAATCAATAACCTAAGGAGATCCCCAGCATGAGAGGGGTAATTAATCAGAGTTAAGAGCGCACACACAAACACAACACATACAGGGCTGAACAGTGCCAATCACTCAGAGGACGCCTGCCACTCAAACACTACTGCGTTTGTTTACATGTTTTTTCTATCCAATTATTTATCTGTAAAAATGTAGTAAGAGCCGGGGCCTGTCACATAGAACAATGCCAGGCTTATGCATTAAAAGTGGCTGTAAGTCTAGGACATTAAAGTGAAACTAAGGGTTTATCAAAACAACTAACACCACTAAAGTATCAAAAGTGTATCTATTCTATAACCTTATCATTAAGGTCCACTATGTAAGATTTCAGACAGTGAGTAGGCAACCTGCTTGATCCATATTTTTAGAAAAACATCGATTCTTACTGTGAGTAGTAGGTGACCCCACCTATCAGAGATCAGACTTTTGAAATTTGCCTGGTGGCATCACCTGCTTGTCTTCATTGACAAAGACATGTTGAATGCCATACTACGGAATATTGTAGGCCAAACAATACCATCTTCAAGGTGACATCTGGTGGAGACGACTTTTGTTTTACTCAAAATAATGATTTATATTTATGGGAGAGAAGTGCATGCAAGGGACAAAAAGTCAACTTTTCTAGAGGTAAGAGTGGACTGCATTTTCTATAAAGATATACAATAAAAAAAATAGATATTTTTAAAAATTCAAGTTAAATTGTAAACCTGTGATAAAAGATTAAAGTCAGACTCCTCCACCCCAATATTTTTATGAGATCAACAGGTGTTTTGTCTTTTCCTAAATATTTTCTGGATTTGGATAAAGCACTATGGTCATTCTGCGATATGCTCTACTGTTGACAAGCATTTAGTATCTCGGTGTAGTTTCAGCCACTCTTATTTTCAATCCACCTCCTCTCTCCTCTCCGTGTTTCTCTCGGCCTTCCCTTGCTCCACAGTGGAAAACCAATCCTGCATCATTCACATGCTAAAGACATTCTCCTCAGTGCTGCCTTCTCAATGACACTCTTTCATATCACGCACTCCGGGGAGATGCTGCTGCGGTGTGTGCATTTTAACTGTGTGCGTGTGTGTCTGTCTGTGTGTATGTGTGTGTGTGAGAAAGAGAACCTGCCTGGCTGCCACCTCACACGGGCCGGTCCCAGATAAGAATAGCCTTATTCTCAGGTTGCCACTGGTGGTGGTTGTAAAGGGGGGGGGGTCGCTCACTGACCACTCAAGCGCTTCTGATGGCGAATGGGGATTGGGATAAACCTTCCAAATGAGCTTTTAAAGGTGGGACCCAAGCCTACTTCTCTTTTAGTTCACATGCAACCACAACTCTATTGTATACAATTACAAAATTGAGATTAACAAGTTAAAGCTATTGAAAATAAAATACCACCTAATGTGTCCATACTTAACTGGTCTTATACTCTTACCTCATTTGCAAAATGTAGTTAGTAGTTACTATAGTTATAAAAATAAGAATGACTTTCAGATTTAATGTCATAAAAATACACCATGCAGACTTAACAGAAAAACAAACAAACATGTATATTCTTTATGCAATATGCTTATTTGCCTAGCCTATCTATGGCAAGAATTAAAAAAAAAAAAAAAAACTAAAAACACTTCAGAAATGCTGGATCAAACACTGGACTTTAAATCATCATTAAAAGGTTCATGACAAGTGTTTTTCTCTTTGTGAGTATCTGAACATTTTACCATCCACCAAGTCTTTGAACCGAGATGTGTAAAGAAAGTAAAGAAAATACAAAGCTAAACTATGACAATGACATCTTTTCAAAGCCCCTATTCCCTTAAGAAAAACAGGTCTTTAGAGACTTGCACTGTGTTTGCCAGTGTCACTTTACAAAAGAGAGAAAAAAAACTCTGGAGTCATATGAAAACATAACATGGGACAAAAAGCCTGACACTCGAAAGAGCGAGAAGGAGCAATCATACATGTGAACAAACCAAGAGAACTTACAATTGTCAAATTATGCACAGAGTAACAGTTACATTTTGTGGAAACAACTTCATTTTGTGGCAAATTAAACATTTGCTCAATCAGTCACAAACTTCTAAACAGAATATAATGTTAGATATAAAATGTTAGACAATAAAATGGCCTCATCTAACTTAAGACAATGAAATCAAACTAAGATAGCTAATTAGAGAGTCATACTCCCACCTGCATTTCTGCAAATTTACAATAAAAGTATATACTGATTATTGCATTTGCAAGACCTTTATTTTTTGTTTTATTTATTGTGAGGTTAATAAACAGAACTGACTGCATAGTGCACATGTTTTCTACTACACTTTACAGATCATAAGAGATAAAAAAAAATAAAAAATCTAACTGTAGCTTGCTCCTTTTTCATATTTCCATACAAAACTGCAAATCAGAGGCTGGTCACACAGTATGTAAAGTATAATGTAAGACTCAAACCACGATGCTTCACGATGCTATTGTCGTTATTTTTAGCAAAGCCTTACATCACACTGGCCATAGGCAGAGCTGCGCTATAATGTGATACTTCTTAAAGCAGATGTACAAATCTTACGCATCTCTTATGGAACTAACCGTACAATACCAATAAGCTCAGGGGGACAGGGGAACAGGTAAAACTGGAAAGCATAAATTAGACAGAATATAATGCTAGGAGAAGACTAGGTAATACATTGTCATTTGTAAAAAATTACAAATCTAATGACAATCTAAAAATAAAATAATAATTGCTGCATTAACTACAACTGTTTTAACGTACAAAATTCTACATGTTGTCTACATGATGGGTACATCTACTACACAAGCTGAACTCACTCTCGACAAGATGCTTAAGATCTCTAAGTACTTTGTGTTTAAGTAATAATATTATACACTTACACATATAGTCCACACATTGCAGAAAGTGCACATAAAAGATGTAGAAAGTAAAATGTATGATGTATAGTGTAAGAGCAGCAGTGGAGGGAAAGCAACAATATTATTGAGTGGATACATTTTAACGAAGCTCTATACAACTTGACAGGACAGAGGAAGCAGGAAAGAGGAGGAGGTGATGATGGACTATCTGATGGGATGGAAGTAGTAGGTTAGGTGCTATGCAGTTCTATTCAATGCGAGCACTCGAGGTCTAAGGCTGTCCCTACACACGTATATTTAACATATTTCTCACCATCCATATCTATTTTATGTAATGTGTGTCTACCGTTTAAATCAGTCTTTCTTGAACCTCAACTTAGGGGTACACGAGTTACTGGGTGAATCACTCAGACAAATAAACAGTGTTGTTTTACCCCCTTTCCAATACTATGATAGGCATTTTTACTATTTTACTACTCAGAATAGGTAAAGTTCTGAGGACCCCCAATTTTTGTTTGCAATGGTACCATTTTAGTGCATTGATATAAATGTATATTTCTTACATGTTACAAGTTATACATTTTTTTCTTACCTTGTAAATGATTATTATTTCTTGTATCTGCCTTAATTCTGAATCATTTACTACCATCTATCCTATCTGATTCAAGGGCTGTACCTGAACTGAGCGAGCAGCAGGCCTCCCAGAGATGAGCCGCAGATGGAAAATCCCATGGCAATGATCCCGTTCCAGAAGCCTAGCTCCCGGGCCGTCATGTGATGGTCCAACAGGAAGAGGGGGAACATGGTGACAGCACCCTGCTCACCTGTGTATGAGATTACAACACATAGGCCAAGGTTTAGACACACTTAATTTACAGACAATACACATCAAACAGATGGGGCCACAACACAGATCTGTCTTTAATAACATGTAAAAATCTATTATTCTAACAGTAGACAGGGGGACAAAGGGATCTGTTGTCCTGGGCCCCAGGGTGTTAGGGGCCCAGAACTGGACCCGCTTTCTATTCATTTATATTAGAAGGGGATCCATGTAAGGTTTGTTGCTCCGGGTCCCCAAATTTCTATCAACGGGTCTGATTCTAACAAGATTCTCTTCCCCCTTTTCCTCTCTCAATCTCTGTAATATTTTTCACTGCTTCTACAAAATTGTTATGATAAATGTCTCTGTTTCAATACCTGTTATGTTGTATATGATCATAAAAGCGGGCTACTTATGTGATACGTCTCAGAACAAGCACCAGTTTACAGTACATACAAAAGAAACAATGTGACTTTGAAGAAGGTGCAGTAAGGAAGCTGTTACCTGACGGTTTAACCTGCACGACTAGCATTACATTCTGGAGATGACGACAACAAAATCAAACACAAAACACTTGGGGTCTATTCCTGGAAAGTGTCAATAATAAATGTCTGACAAGAAAAAGACTACTCTCCGTCACTTTATCAAACAGAGACCTGGTACTTTTCCTAAAGCAGTGAAAGAGAAACACAACAAAACACAAAAAACTCGCATAAGATGAAACGGGATGCACAAAGGCCTCTCAGTCAGAATGAAAAGTTTTCCCCGAGACTTCCTGTGTGTGGTGATGAGTGCGGGGGTAATGTTCTGCCGAAACATTACAGTAAAATATTCAGCGTTGTCGACTAGACGCCATTATTATATTAATGGAGAGCGACTTCACAAAGACAGTGGGACCAAGGAGCTGCGGTGACTGACAGCTCGGTTCCCAGACTGCTGTCAAAGTCGACGCAGCACAACCAGCCATCCACTCACTCTGTCAGCCAGGAGACAAACAAAAATAGAGGAAAGGGGGAAAAGAAGACACATGAAACAGATTGGAATAAAAAAAGAGGAAGAGAGAGTCGGGGAGAGAGAGGAGATCCTAGTGATGGGGAGAGTGGCAGCGAGACCGAGGGTGTCATAGAGCGAACACTGGTGTGACAAGCCAGCAGAAAACACAGGTTTTCTCTGTGTAAAACATGTACAAACATGCTAAAGCTGCAGCAGTGGAGAGTGGTGACTTAAAACAATAAAAAATTAGCTACTACTTTTAGAAAACGATTACCAAGTGGTCCAATGATAAGGTATATTTTATTACCTCCACAGGTCCACAGTTGAACCACAGAAAATTATTTGTAGATTTAAATTACATAATCTGGAGAAAATGTGGAAATGATATTAGCAAAAAAATATCAGCAGAGTTCCTCAGCTATCGGTTTCTCTGGATTTTGAACAATTGGCATTGGCCATGAAAAAAAACATATGTACTTCATAAAAGAAAAAAAAAGGTTGTCCAATGTCTTTAGTTGCCAAGACCTAAAAAATGACTAATAAGGATTGAAATCATAGTACTTCCATAGCAAAACACTATACCCGTGTGTCATCCTCTGTAGTAGTCTGCAGTAATCACATTAGTCATAATAAAGTCAACATTGTCGACTCTGGAGCCCATGCTGCTGCTGTTGTTTACCCATGATTCCCTGCTCCTGCGCCTGTCTGCCTGTTGTTTAGCTCAGAGCGTTCACAGTCCTGTCTTCAGCTAATTATTTCTTTAAAGAGAGGGCTGTGGGGAGGAGGCCGTGTAGACAAACACAAGCAGGCTGATTATTCCTTTCTATAAATATTCTCAAAGCAACAATTGTCCATTTCAGTGGGGATTTCATTAGACGTCCACAAAGATTAAATAAGCAGAGTGGAGAGGAAGAGGAGAGGTGTTAGGGGATTTGAGAAACAGGAAAATGACATAAAAGAGACATTATGGTGACGTCAACAATGAGGAGAAACATCTCGCATCACAGGTGTATGGGGAAAACATAAAGGATGTGACACTGTACAATCCAAAATCCACTAAAGCAATTAAGTGAAATTAGGTCTCACCATTGCTTATATTAAAAATCAATTCAGTGACATGTACTGTTAATGATTTATAGATGATAAAAACAAAGAATTAACATAGCTTTAAATGAAGCAGGGCAACAATTTGAAAGATTGCCACTAGCTGCATTTCGGCATGCTGTTTACATATGATGTTTCTCATGAATACTTGCATTATCCAAAACCAAAATACACAATCATTATGATGTATAAATATCTTATATACATGTTGTATTTATATGAGGTGCCATAATAAACCTATAATATTTCAACACTGTTTCTTGGGTGTCCAAACAGTAACGACCCCACTCACATTCAGAATCTATGTTCTTCGAGGTATAGTTTTTACAATATAAAGCCCTGTAATTCAATACATGCTAGACAGATTAGTAAATGCTATACTATGTAACATTCCAAGTAAATCCTCAACATATCCACGGGGGCAAGCATGTGGCAGATCCCCATCAGAAATCATATAATATTCAACTATTTGTGCAGCACATACAATAATTCCCTGATCCCGACTGATTGAGTTGGAGTTGCAGAGTTGGAGTTGGATGTTACAGAGGGAGTGGATGGATGGTATAGAGTGGGATCAGCAGGAGGCGAGGGGGTGAGGGGTGTAAGGGGGTGGCACTGAGGTGTTAGGTCGATGAGGACAGTGGGTTCAAAGTGCACAGATCACAGAGGACAACCAGGACAACCTTATCCCTGCCTGCCATGGTCCTCCCAGTAAACAGAGTGCGCTTCATACATACTACATGCAGCTACACACAGCCACCACACACAGAAGGAGGCACACAAGCACGTATAGTTATCAGCTCATCAGCTCCCCTCAGGACAAAGCCGTAAACAGAGCCCTCTCTTCACACGTTTCCAGAGTATCCTATACATTTGTGGCTTCAGAGGCACGCACACGGCATAGTGAGGGTGCTGCTAAAATCAATACATGTCAAGGGTTTTCTCTTCTCCCCCAGGGACTACAGTAGTCTAAAATCTTCAAAAATATTTGGATCAACTTGAGCCTATTTTGTAAAGTATGCATTTTAAAATCCACATTGTTGTAAAAAAAAAAAAAACTGCCATTTGTGGTAACTAATACCACAAGTATAAATGCCAGGAAGGGCAGGTGGTGCAAATAAATATGTACTTTTTAAATTGTGGATTGCCAAGTATTTTTTTCACTACAACAAAAGCCAAGAATCATCTACCCCAAAGAACATAATTAACACTGGAAAAAATTTTAGGAAGTAAATGATAAAAATATATATTCTAAAAAAGAATTTGGATTTGACCCACATGAATAAAGTAAATCATAAATTCATCATTAGTTATGATGGTTTTTCGTTGGTATTAAAAGTATGTAAATTCCAATCCAATGAAAAAGCAATTTTACACTGTAATGGCATTTGACTGCACGTTTGTCTTGACATGGTCAAATTAATGAGCCATTGCCATTGTACACGTTGTCTTTGTTAGAGCACCATGTGGTGGTTGTTCATTAATTTATTTGCTCCTTCAGCTCTGCTCCCTGCAGTCTTGTCTTTTCCCTCTGGAAAATACTGCCTCTTTTCCAACTTAAGATTCAACTTTTTTTTATATCTCCATTGTCCACTGGACCATGCACCAGCCAGCCATGAAAGAGGTGTGCAGTTTTTCTAAAATCTTTTACCATTACCAATACCAATTTTCTTTAAGCATAGTGTTTCATAATATAAATGGGCAGTAGTACTAAAACACAATCTTAAAACAATGAAAAGTGCGATGTACTACACATGTTTTCAGGATACAGGTAAATTAGTTAAGTAAATTAATAGAAAATTACAGTTGGAACTTGCAGTATGCTGTGTTCTTCAAACAACGCTACATTCTTGACTACTGAGCTTCTGTGTCCCCTGTTGCAATGTTATAAACTTCATGAAAAAGAAAGATGAAAGGTGAACAAGATCTTTTCTGTTTATCTATTCTTCAATGTGTCCAGCTGGTCAATTCCCAGAGAAAGGCAGTACCGAAGCTCACCATCACTCATATCTCCTGTCAGACACTGTAGAACTAATGATGAAAAATGGCCATCTTGGAAGCGTGCAATGGGGCAGAGTTCAAAGTGAATAGTGAGCAATAGATTCTCCGATTAAAAATAAAAATATAACACAGAAATTACACAATGATTACTGATTAACAATGTAACCTTTTTACAGCAAAAAATAAGCATTTAGGGGCCTATTTTTACCCTCCTTCCCTTTTTTTCCAAATATGTCTGTATCTCCCTATCCCTGTAGAGTAAAAAGTCTATTAATTCAAAAATATTCATTAGCTCGCGGCCTTGTGCAATAGCTTAAAAGAGGACAACTACCATTTAAGTAGTAATGGGGTGGTGTTGTTCTATGCTGTACTTAGATTAGCTGTAAGATAATAATACATCTAAAGATAGGTCGTATGACATTAATGTTGTGCAATAATGATATGGACAACAATTTTCTACCAGTGTTTTTTTTGGTATTCATATTTTTATTTAAATAAGAATAGATTAACATATATAGGTGCAAATTTCAGTGAGAAGTTTGGTAATAGTGATAATAGTGTAATATCAGCCAATCTTTTCTTTTAATTTAATATACCTTTTGACTACCTAAAATAATGCAAATATGAAATTTATTGCATTTTTACATTTTAATTGTATGTAATGAATCTGACTAGTGATAAGGCAAACAGAAATCAATGTACAAGAAATATGGTGCTGTAAGCTTTAACTATATCTCCTCTTTTTCGTGTATTATTATCAGAGATTACTCTTCCTCCCCCCTCACTCTGTCTGTCCCTGGAGGCCAGACAGTGCTCCCATGATGCCCCTGCCCTCAGATGGCACAGAGGTCGTAGTTCAGACGTGAGGCTTTCACTGATTGGCTGCTGCGTTGGACACTGTGCAAACTCCACTTCATTAGGGAGAGATCCGGAAGAGGGTGTGTATTGGGAAAGGGGGAGCAGCAGACACCCTGATCACCAGTCGCACACAAACAAAACGCTTGGACAAAAACAATAACGTCTCACATAGTCAATTATGCTGGCAACATTCAGATCTCTTTTAGAAAATTACACAATCATTTTGCTCCCTAAAGGTGGAAAATATTTAGACTTGAACACCAGTAAATGTTAGCAAGGGACAAGGCTATTAATGACTAGTTAGTGAAAACACAAGCAGTAATTATTTTTAGCGGACGGATGAGTGTGTGAGCCCATGCATCAGGGAGAGTGCTTGTTGGGGGGATGCTCTTAGTCCCTAGACAGATTAGGGGTCCAGGCAGGCTTCATATTTGTCTAGTGTACAGTCGTCTGCTGGGACTCATCCGATTACCAGGCCACCCTCACTCAACACTCAAACACACATTGACACAGACACACACACACACACACATTCTTAAAACAAAGGCCATACATTCATATACAAGCTCCAGTGAAAGCTATGCAAATGTGAGGAGACAATTATATTCCCACCACCCACATAAACATCAATGTGGTGCACTGTCTTCTCCTGCAGTTTGTGAACGCCACAGACACAAAGAGACTCTAATCCTTACATAATCCCCTTCTGCTACCAAACACCAAACTCTGGTCATATCAACTCTCTCCCACACATAAACAAAGTAAGAGTTATCCAAAACTACTTTTCTTAAGAGATGTACAAACAAAATACAAATTCAAAACAGACTCCGGGAAAGATTTAAACTTAAGTCTCACAATAGGCATTATGCTAGCAACTGACTTGTACTACTGAGACTTGTATTTTTAATTCCCACAGTGAAAAGCACACCTGCCAAACTTGATACAATGCCTTACAGTGATGACTTTCTTAACAGCACAAATACCAGTCAATCGACAGTCATACAAATACAAAATCCAACAGAGACATCTAGTGGTATGCATGCGCCTCTACATCAAGTGCTTCAGGATATCGCATTACTTTTGGTGTAAGAGAGCTTTTATCTAAAGGAAATCCCAGATAGAAGTATCATTCATGATAATAGTCTTATAATATACCTCTGCTGATACAGTATCATTCATGATAATAGTCTTATAATATACCTCTGCTGATACAGTGCTTTCGTCATACTCACCAAGTTTATATGTTAGCACATACAGGATGGTCCAAGGGGTCCCAGGTACTGCAAGCATCTTTCTCCACACTCTCCATGGCTTTGTAGCTTCTGCTGCCCTCTTGCTGCCATCTGCTGCCTGCCCCTTTACGGTCTCCTCATCCAAGACAGGGGCTCCCAACACAAACAAAGCCACACCTGCATAGACAAACATGAGCAGCACAAACATCCATCCCCATCCTGCTACATCGATGACAGCCAACAAGCCACCTCCAGCGAACACAGAGCCAGCTTTGTAACCAACCACTTGGGCTGTGTTCCCAAGACCAAGCTCTCCACGACCTTTAAGCAAACTCACAGCAGCCCCGTCTACAGCTATATCCTGGACTGAGGCAAATGTGTTCATGGTCAGCAGCGTTGCTGCTACTCCCCATATGTGTGCTTCTGGGGCAAGAGCAGCACTGGACGCACATGTGAGAGCAAGACCAGACACAGTCCCAACAATCCAGCGGCGCTTTGTGCCAATGCGGTCTATAAGAGGAGCCCACAGGACCTTGAGAACCCAGGGGAAATAGAGGATTTTGGTAAAGCTGATGCGGGTGAGTGAATGGCCAGCTCCTCGCAGGTAAACAGGAAGCAGTGAAGACTGGAGGCCATAGGGGATGCCCTGCACAAAGTACAACAGGCCCAAGAAGACCAGCTTGTCATTCATGGTGTGTTCAGTAAGGTGACCCTGTGAGGGAGCCAGTGATGCAGTGTGATGGTCAGGTCATTGTCAGAGACTGTGCTGGTGTACTTCATGCACACCTCTTGATCCAGAACCCTGTACACTCCACTCTTTTCTGAAACACACAATAGAGATGAACAGTTAGAGGCTTGTTGGCACTGTACAGTGTAACCTTGCTGAAAGGATGAGACTCCTGCAGAATGACTGCTTTACTGCTCCAGCTGAGTTACTTCCATGGAGCTAATATTAGCAACGTCAAACGACAGCACTAACCCCTATATCACATAAAGAGACAAACGTACGAGTGTGTTATTTTTTACGTTTAAAAACAACCACTGAAAAATTCAACAAAACAAAACAAACAACCCAAGGTTTGGCTGCCAATGAGTAATTAGCTACTGTTAGCCACTAGCCTATGCTAAACACAATAACACAATCTGTTAAATAGAGCATTGTTACATCGGGTTGGCATTAACATAGGTTGACTAGATTTACAAAGGCACTTCTTATCTGGTTGAAGATACACCTTGACATTCAGCAGGAAAGTTCACTGTGATGCGTTTGCTAACCATATGCTCCGCTCGTTGTAGCAGTGAACTGGGTTGCCAGATCTGAGTATCATTTTTCAGGACCAAGGGTGAAAATACTCAGCTTCATAAAGGGACCTGTATAACTGGTATATATAAAAATAAATAAATAAATAAATAAATAAATAAATAAATAAATATATATATATATATATATATATATATATATATATATATATATATATATATATATATATATATATATACAGTGTTGGGAGTAATGTATTACAGTAATGCGTTGATTTTTGCTGTCACGCAGTAATGTAAGGCATTACACGGGGAAAAATTGTAATATTTTACTCGGTACAAATGTAAGTAACGCGCGTTACAATGCTTTTTTAACCTGGATTGAAGTGGTGGGTTTTTCTTCATAGAAATTCGCTAAAATCACCGTGAAATCAGCAGCGGTGAAACGCCGGAGACGCGGCCGGATAGACCTTCAGTTAACCGCGGGTGAAAGGACCTAACTCTACGCTGTTTAGACCTGGTTTAGACCTGGGTCACTTCTGGTTTAGACCTGGTTTAGACCTGGGTCAGTTCTGGTTTAGACCTGGCTTACAGTCGTCCCTCGCTCTAACGCGATTCACTTTTCGCGGTCTCGCTGTTTCGCTGATTTTTAGAATTTTTTTTGTGTGCAATTTTGCATGCCTTTTGTTTTTAGTGTATGAACACGTATTCCTCCCGCTGTGTCCTGATCGGCTGAGGGACTCCTGTCTCCTCTACAGTACAGAATATGTTCAGCTGCCAAATTTAAATACATGTTCAATCTCTAGCAGTGTGATTCTGAAGTGCTGTATGTCTGCAAGTTTTCTCTCCGACAAAATCCACAACGTCGACGAAATGTTCTGCACCGACAAAGTCTCCTGCGCTCACACCCAAAAGACAGAGGACGATGCAAACCATCGCACAAAAAGTTGGACTTCTGGACACGTTGAAGGAAGGTAGAAGTTACGCGCTGTAGCAGAGTTTTGCACCGGGTCTTGTACCCGCAAATAGTTGCTGAAATCAGGACCGTGAGCCCGAGCAGCAGGGTGTCCATAAAGAGCGATCGGGCGACAGCCGCTCTTACCTCCATGAGGTGCGGAGCAAAGCCGGTCCTTTCTCCTGCGGTCACCTTTGAGCCTGTCCTGACAGTGAGTCCTGTTTTAGTCCTAGTTCAGTTCTGGTTTAGTCCTCCTCTTCAGTCCTGGAATCAGTCTGAGGTTAGTCCTGTTATAGTCCTGGTTTAGTCCTGGTTCAGCTCTGGTTTAGTCCTGGTTTAGACCTTGTTTAGTCCTGGTTCAGTCCATATACGGCTCAAAAGTTCAGCTTTTTCGCAGTTATTTTGGTGAGAGTAACTTAAAGTAATGCAATAGTAATGTAATGCCTTACATTTTAAATGCAGTAATATTGTAATGTAACGAATTACTTTGAAATGACAGTAATAAGTAATAAATAACGCATTACAGTTTTAAAGTAACTTGCCCAACAGTGTATATATATATATATATATATAAACACTTAGCCCACGTTCAGTCAGTTCACTCATTTATTTGGACATATACATACATACATTTAAATAGAAAACAATTATTTAAACATATCAACGAATCATGTGTTCCTGAAATATTTTGTGTCACAATACAGGCAACTTCAATCATTACACATATTTTGTTTTATGTTTACGTTATGGTTTAAAAGTTTTTTAAATTAATATTTTTAAAACACAATTTTTTATTCTAATTAAATATTTTAACTAATAATGGCAATACATAGACTTTGAATCATGCAAAATGCCTCTGTTTAGAAATCCTGGGTTTTATTTCACAAAAATCACTATGAAGCCTACAAATGGGCCTTTGCTAAAGTACTCACCTTAAAACACAAAAATGACCTGACCATATTATGTACAATTGTATTAAGAACATTAAAAGAAAAGTGCTAATTGTCAATAATCTGCTGACAGAAACAAATACAGCTATTTAAATTAATAAGTAGCTAAAAAAAATGAAATAAAATATCGATAAAGTATAAGAGGTCCGATGGCATCAGTGAAGAGAGTAACTATCAGAGTCCCTTAGACTATACTGTGATGTTGTTCTTGTGAATGGCAGTTCTACCACTACAACTTCATTACTAGGGACGAAAAAGCTGTTGAACCACAAAGCCTCACACTCATGAAAGTGATGAGGCAACCTTTTAAAGTGCACTACGTAACTTTTCTGGAGGAGGGCTTGCCTTTTTCAAATTTGTTTTTGAGCAATAAACACCCCTATAATTGGAAAAATGGAAGATACATAAGTTTAAGTCTATACAGTGGAACATTTACAGTTGCATAGTTACATAGTGCACCTTCAAGTAGGTTAAGGCACTGCAGAATCAAAATTATAAAAAGATTATGAGATTATGAAAAGACATTTTTGGCTGATAAAATAACTATTTCTTCTAATCAGATATGTAATACATTACATTGGTAACTCCTTTATAGTCTTATTGAGGGGGCTTGGTTAGTCCAACAGAAAGACCAACAATTAGAGCAACAATGGCAATCAGGATCAGTAGGACAAAAGCAAGGATGATCATTTTCTGTAAATAAAAAAATACATAATAATTATTATATATAATATATATATAGACACAATTTCAATTGTATGGATGCATATGGATTAAAGAAAGTAGACTCACCCTCCTGGACCTCTTCTGGTATCTCACTGCTTTCTTTGTCTCCTCTTTTGCACGACAGATATATTCAGCTGCATTGGCAACATTCTTCTCAATATTGTTCACCATATCTCCCTTTGACAGACCAAATAAGGAAATTTGATTAACTAGCCTATAATGATAAAAATGTTGGAATGCGCTCAAAAAACGTCTTACTTGAGTCTCTACTAGCATGGCCATATCCATAAACATAGTGTGAAGCTCTCTTATGCTTGTCTCCAACCGTATTATGTCCTGATGTCGTGATTCTATTTCATTTAATGCCTCATGTGTTATTTGTGAATCCATGATGATCTGGAGAATAATACAAGCATGTATGAGAACTTTTACGAACATGTTTTTAGGGAAAATAACTTGTATCGTATTTGCATAGTACGATATCTTACATCAGATGTAAAGATAGTTGGATTTCCACTTTCTAACATGTCCTCCAGTTCTTCATTCGTGGTCACTCGCCCAGCTAAAATGAATTAAATGAAAATAAAGTATGTAGTAGTATAATTTCATCAGGGAATAACAATACAATAGTTTTTACTAATAAATATTTGGTTTTACTAATAAATATTTAAAATACTTTAAGCCAAACTTATCCCCTAGGTATCGCCATATCTCCATAGTGCTGATATTACACCAATAATATTAATTCACCCAGGTGGTCTCTAACCACCAGGTGGCCAGGAGGCTAGGAATCTGCATCTGCCTAAAGAAGAACTTTTGACTTTTCCTTTTATTTTATTATTATTTAATTTAGAAGATTGAGAGTGAGAACATAATTTCAATTCTCCATATGTTCATATTGAAAATAATAAACCTTTTGAATCTGAATTGAATTAACTTGAATTTAACTCAATTTTAAAGAGCCATATCTAAATGAAGTCATCCTTGTTGCTTGCTTGTTTTTATTTTGTGGCTAGCTTTCTTAACCAAAATAGGAACAATGTGAGCTACAAAGGAAGGCTTGACTCAAAGAAAAATGGCTGCTTAAAATCTATAAACAAAAGTCTTTCTCTTCCTGCTGCCGCCGCCCCCTCCTCTGCCTGCCCTCCCCAGAGAGACAGATCTCAGTGCAGGTACTGCCACACTCCTCCTTCGGTTTATTCCTTAGAGACACTGAGCCAAACACACAAAAACACACTACTGTAGGAGATTAATAAATGCATATTGCTACAGGAGACACTAACATGTTCATCTACTAAGGGATTTCTGACATACATAAAAGTAAATATAGTAGACATTATACCACTCGGGTATCAAATGAACAAGTTAAAAGGTGGTGAATAGTGTTACTGTCACCGGGGCAACACAAACAGAGCCAGGCGTCTCTAATATCAGCTCTTTGACTGCACTGAGCTGGGTTTCTCATTAAAGCTGCCACTGGTAAAAAAGGAGAACTGTTCTATACTATTTGGCCTGTCTATGCTCTGATTGAGTACTGTTCTGAAATATTATTCCTTCTGGATTTAAATGACTTTGAGCTTTTGTGTGGGCTTCTGACCTTCCTGTATTTATATTTTAAAATTAACTTAAAAACAAATAAAAATATTATTTTTCAAACCACTACATTAGGATAAATTTAACAAAGAACGATTTTTGACTAAGTGTATTCATTTGCTCCTGTAAGTATAAAAGTGATCTTATTACTTGCTGTTATTTATGACTTACTTATCTCCAGTTGTCTCTGTATCCGTCCTTTGCTTCTCTCTCTGAAGGACACTTGTGTCTCATTGTACTGGGTCATGACTTCCACAAACTTCCTAGACAGTACTGTGTGCTAAGAGAACACCACAGTACACCAATGGCACAGTCAAAACAAAGCTCACTTCATCAACAACTTTGATTATTGTTGTTTTAACATGGAAGTCATATATATTTTCCTCATATTGGCTGATCACAATTTTCTAATTGTTTTATTTAAATGGAAAACAAATAAATGGCTTTGAATATGAATTTCCTGAACATAAACAAAACAAATTGTGAATTTTATTGCCATTTAACACAAAAAGTAGTCACCTTTTTGCCTCCAATCCACACATGCTTTTACTCACAGAGAATTGGTTGTAAATGGTGATAATAGATGGCTAAAACTCTATCACATTTGATTAATGCCACTGTCTTACTTTCATGGTCATATTACAGTTATAAATAACAATGGGACTTTTGTCTGACCTGTGTCTTCTGGATCCTGAAATCAACAGAGGACCGATTTACCACATCATCTTTGGGCATACTTTGTTCCATAGCTTTAGGGTACAGAGTAGAGGGAAATATGTGCATTGGCAAACAGTAACAATATAATAATATAATAAACAATTGTGTAATAGCTTCAACTTACTTTTTAGTTTTGTTCGTACAACATTGGCATTGCCTTTAATGTCGTTGGTGAGTGCAGCCAACTGGTCCTTTGTTCCTGTAAACAGAGAAAAACATTACCTATTGTTTGCTGAAAAAAAAATACATATATAAATGCAGCATCTCACAATGGGCCCCTCCACCTGGCTACTGTAAATATTGATTTTAGTGCCCATCATGTAACTTAGCAACACATCTTTATACATTTTCTACTGACAAAGCAGAAAAATCTAATTCTTTATTTCCTGGCTTCAAACAACACATTTCTTAAAGTTTCTCAAAACACAATGTGCAATAATGCCCTATTTATGTAGCCTACTCTGATGACGCTACTGAATTAACAATGTGAAAGGTTTTGACAAAAACTGAAAATGCAATAAAACGAAATGCCCATATAACATTCTCGGTAAAAGATAATAAACTTACTGTCATCAGGATTGGGTGCTGAAAGGATAGTGCTGTGAATCTTCCTCACCTCATCCACTTGATAGGAGATTTTATCAATAAGCCCTCTAACTTCCTCCACCTAATGAAAAGCGACATAACACCAGACTCATAGTTGTATATAAGATTCATATTAAACACGTGTAGGGTACAGTTACCCTTCTGAAAAAGCTCTCCATGAAGCCATCTCTCTCCACTGAGACAACATCCTCGTCTATCGGTGTCCTATTCTGCTCAGGGGAAAACTGCAATTGAGTCGCTTTACATTGGCGTCAATAGTTTGGACATTATTATTAACAAGTTAAAAACTTTCAGTGGATACTTACAGCGGCCAATTCAGCTAGCCGATCCTTCATCACGACGCTTGTCTCCGCTAATTCTGGTAAAGCTGTCAGGTCATGGCGAAAGTTTCCATACGCGCAGCGCCATTGCGACACCTGTTAATTAGCGTATACAATTTATAAGTTAAAATGATGGACCACACAATAAAAACAAAGATTAAAGAGTGTTAATTGGGTTGTTTTGGTTCTATGTTAATAGGCCGCACCTTACAAACGAGAAAGAAGAGATGCGTAATGAGTTACCGGGATACGCCTCTTTTTCTCTCCTTCCTATTGTCTTCACTTTACCCATGGGAAAAGACCCTTATAGACAATGTAAAAATGAGCAAGTATTCATGAATGTTCTGGAAAAAAAAAACAACAACAAAAAAACAAAAAAACTGTAATGATAGAATCAAATATATAAGTCTAGGCCTACACTTGCATGGCCTACATTGGCCTACATAGTCCATATTATTAAAGATGTATTTTATTTGGAATCCCTAGTCATTTTACATGCATCGAGTCTGGTCCCATGTCGAGTTAATTTCATAGGCTTATTGGCACAATAAGTTAATTTGCCTTTGAACGAAGGTTGCCGCATAGGGGCGCTGTTCACTCAAAAAAGCCATAAACCCGCAAGTCTTGGGATTCTTTGACTAAACTTTGGCGGCATTATCAGGCTTTCATCACCTACGAGAATCATCACTACGCAAATTTAATATGAATACAAAAAAGGAAAACGCGGGTGCTCGGTAATTTGCGAAGCCACTTTTTTTTACGTCTTGGAAAGGACGATTGGGTCTCAAAATCCCGTTAGTGCCCATAATAAAGCTAAACGTAGAGAGAGAGAGAGAGAGAGAGAGAGAGAGAGAGAGAGAGAGATATGATCCAAGATGCCCTAATGATGTGTATTCTCTTTAATTTGAAACATAATTAAATCACTACTGTAACGCCTGATCTCATTCAGACCCCGTGCAGTCTCCTAGTGCGCACAAATAATGCCATTTACGCACAGCTCTGACGCCCCTCCTCAGAAGATCCAGAAAAGTGACATCACATTTTGGTATTCCCACGTTCAGAGCCACAACTTGGAGAGCTCGCCTCCTGCTCAAAGTTTGTGTGCCGTGACCAGGGCTTGGAGGCACATTGTTTCAAACTCATTCAAGAAAAAAGTCAAGATCTTTGGATTCTTTGGATTTCACTTCATCATGACAGAAGTCTTCGGTGCCTGATGCTTGAAGAGTATTTTTCCCTGTTTTGTGTGAATATTTTTATTGACTAAACACATGGACTAAGCCCTATTTTAACTTTTTTGGAATAATGCATTTATTTTATTGGATTTATCTAAGCATAATCAAGTGTTAAATAATTCCAAACGTTATGGAACTTAATTTGAAACTTCACATTTTCTCTGCTTTTCTCTCATGTATTAAGGTAAGCAACTGTATTTTCTTTTATATATGTGTGTGTGTGTTTGTCTGAAATGGATGCTTTCAGTCTTTTAATGGTTTTACCTGTTTTCAAAATCATCACTACTACATGGGGACTCTTTTTTTTCTCAACAGGTTCATGCTCAAGTGTCGCAATGGACGCAGCATCCAGGTATCTTGATATTGCTTATCCTGGTAGTTATGTGATTCACATTTGTATTTGTAAGCCTAACTAGACTATTTTCACATTATGATTTTAGATTTACATTATAATTTAATGATTAAAACCATTAACACATTATATTTCTATTCTATCACAGTTTAAACATGCTACTCACTAAAAGTGCTTTCAGTCAAGGTTCTTATAGTAAAACTGTTTACCCATGAACCACAGGCTTGCAGGTGTTGCGCAGTGCTGCACATTATTGGCCCCTCGATGATGTGAGTGGAATCCATGAGCTGTGGGACCAGATTGGGAAGCGAACAGGTTATGTTAACGGCAGTAACATAAGTATGTGTTTACATTATATCACAGTATATGTTTGTGAATGTGCACTTTCAGACAGAGGAGGGCAAAGAGACTAATCAGTGTTTTCTCATCAAATGTGGTTCCAATTGGATTATATACACATTTTATAGTTTCAGACATATCTATGTACAGTACATGTCTTTATATTTGTATTATTTTAATGGGCTGCTAAAATACAAATTTCTTTGGGGCAAAGCGCATCTGCATATATAGTGTATTTATGCACACTGTGTCAGACTGTTATTTCTGTATGGAAAAGTGTGCCCTAAAATAGAATGGGTAAAATAAAGTGAAATATATAGATCTTTGTCTATTGTATTTACACAAATTTGACACGTTCAGATTACACATTCATATGAATTGGTTAAAGCCTAAAATATATCTCTGGTCCACTTCTGTCTATACATGTCTGCATTAGTTGCCTTGAAGCCATATAAATGTTGGTAATTGTTGAGGGATCGGGTATGACTTGAGTTTGATGCATGCTTCTTTCGTGCACCACCATTCACTTTAAGCATCAGTTCTTCTCATACCTGTGCACCATGTCCCTCCATTTGTCGTCTTTTCACCTTTCTTTGTGTCTTGTGTCAGTTTAGGATTGAATCACTGTATGTTTTTGTGTTGTCCAGCACTAAGAATCCACAACCATACTGTGCTCCCCTCCTCCCATAACTCTTCTTATGTGTATACCAATGACTCTGCCTACACTAACATTTCTGCGACTGTAGGTGAGCATCCATCACTGTTGCCTCATTCACCGCTGGCTTCCATTATCATCCCCTGTATCTGATGTGCGTGTTGTCATTTATGACACCCGTTTATACCAGAGATACATCCTCCTTAAAATTATGACATATGCTAACTGTGTTTGATATGCAATGAAGGAACAGTAAACATATAAAACTGAATTATAATTCACCTCTTTGATAAGATGATGACAGAAAATGCTTACACATGTACAATGCAATATCTCTTATCTGTTGCAGACATTGTTGAAGGAATGGTAAACAAAGGCATCTTTTTGAATGGAGATAATGGTGGTACTTTTCTCCACTTTGGAACATTTCAGAACACCTGCATCAGTGATCCAATGCTTTGTGGCCCAGAGGGTTAGTACTGACACACCAAAGAGTCATTCATGTAAATATTGAAAGTTTTAGTTACTGTTGTTTGTAATTGTGTGCAGGGATTACCTTCTCCTTTTTCTGGAAAAACCATGAACCTTCAGCACGGTTTGCTGTTGCGTCTGGAGGAAAAGTTATCTCCAATGGTTTCTCAGTCTACACTAATCCTTTCAGAGGATACGTAGAGTTTTACACAAGAGGGAACAACCATAGGTGGAAGGCTGACATCAGCGTGCCAGGTAAAGTTTATATATAGCGTCCAAATAATTTTCTAATTCTTCTTCTTTCTAAAACAAGTCTTAATGATATTTTTTTTTCTAAAATAAAGTGTATTTTGTAACTTAACATAACCCATAGGTTCTAATTTCTATAGCAGAAAAAACAGACAAGAACAGTATTCACAAAATAAACAGAAACTTGAACTGCTAAGAAGTATGACTAGCATAAGATGAAACTAAAACACAAAGTGTGTTTCCTCTTGCTATAAAATGTTTTTACAAAATTGCGCCTAACAAATGAGACTGTAAGTTAAACAATTACTGCTTCTCAAATATCCTGTGTAATCAGTGTTTTTGCAGTGCTGAGTTAGGGCAGGTCATTGTGTCATAGCCTACGTTAAGTCTGCGTCCGGTTACACAAAATCATCTGGTTTTCATATGTGATTGTGACATGCCACATTTGAGGACATTACCTCAAAATCTGTCCGTCCTTACTCAGCGTAACACAAATGATGAAATGCTGTTTACTTCAGCGATGTTACACAATGTATTGTACCCAAAGTTTTATTTAGATTGATCCAATAGAGAGAAGGGAGTTGGTATCTATTTTTAATTTTACTTAATGTATGCTATATATTGTAGATGTTTATTCACTACTGAAGTAAAGTAAATGAACTGGAGGTGCACGGTAGGATGGTGATTACCTCTCCACTGTGAGTTTTTTGTTGATTTTTTTTTTTTTTTCTTAGAATGCAATTTTATTTAGTTTTTCTCCTTGATGAATATAAGAAAGGAAATGCCATCCGTGTTTTCCTGCAACAGCTTTGTCTGGTCATCGTCCAGTTTGCACAAACCATCTCAAACTGACAATTACTTGGATTAAGCAGGCTATATTAAACAATTAAAGCATAAAAACGATGCACCCATTTGTAAATCTATAATATGATAGTAGTTTTGTTAATACTGGTTGATTGTGCTTAGGAGGAGGGATGTTAAAGGTCAGACTTGACACCAAATTGACTCTTGTGAGCTGTAACCCATTTTACAATGCAATTACCTCATCAAAATAACTGGATTTCAGTTTTGTTTCATTCATATATGTTTGAGTAATCCTTTATTATTAGTCTGCCTACATCTGCAAAGCACACCTTGTGATGTTAGTAAGTGGTAGTTTTCACGTTAACAGCTACCTTTTACCTTTAGTTCAGTAGAGATTGGCAAATCCAGGATGGAAATTATCCAAATGATTCTAGCGAAGATGTATTGAGTTTAAAAACACAATGGAGCACTTCCTATATTACCACATGACATCCCAAGATGGAACGGAGTGTTTTCCTAAATAGCCTAAATACGCAGGGTTTATATGTTAAGCATGTTTGAATGAAACAAAACACAACTTTACGTATGTTTCTGATGAGGAAACAACATTATACAATAGTTCAGAAAATAGTGTAATATGGGCCCTTTAAGCACAGATTTTTAAGGCCTTTAAACAACTCAGTTAAGATTTTGACATACGTTTGAGACATCCATGACCTGTAACGAAGCAAAACTGAAAAAGATGAATAATGCTAATACTTTTTTTCAGGGCCCTATTGGACTCACATTCTTTTCACCTGGACAAAAACTAAAGGTCTGGATGTTTATATAAATGGGACTTTGAATGCCCGGGACGAGGTGGGCAGTTTTTCCGATCACTATGGTGACCTCTATCCCGACTTGGTTATCGGGACTGGCAATGGCAAACCACACGGCCATTATGTTACAGGAGCCTTTGATGAGTTCATTATCTGGGAGCGGGCTCTTTCCCCCAGCGAGATCCTGCTCTACTACAATGCAGCTACAGGTAGGACATTGCAGCCTTCCGCACTTCCTGTCGTTCTGTGAAATCTTATAATGTGAGGAAACAGGGTTAAAAAGCCATTTCCGTACTTTCTGTTTGTAGAAAATGAAGATATTGAATAATACACCTCCCTTTGTAACCTTTGAAGCAACAGTGTCATGACCTGTATCCTCATTAGTGCACAGACTTGCATAGTTCTGCCTTATAAGTATTTTTCAAAATGTATTATGTGAGTGGTTGGGGACAGATGAATCCTATTTTAGATGATATTTCAGATGATGATGTCCCTGAAGTCTGTTACTTTTTTCCTTTTTTCATATATTTATTAGAGAACAAGGAAATAATATTTTTAAAAATGCGCTGTCACTTAAATATATACAAGTCCTCCAAGGCAATCCATGAATTACTAAAAAGAATGATTGAAGGGGACGGTTTTATGATAACAGCAACAACTAATGTAGTATTTTCCTTCTTGGCATACTATTGAACTTTCCTTAATAAATTCATTATAGTCACACCACAACAATTCAAAATTGTATCCTCCTTTTTGCCTTTAGCAAGAACATAACCTCAATGGTAAATGTAATTATTAAGTCAAGCTTTCCATTTAAGCAACAAACAATTGTTTTTACTGCTGCCTGCATCCAATTTCTGTAAGTCTGAGGCTGATTATTCATATTGCAAAAGGTACATTAAATTAGTCCCTGTCTTGCGGTTTATTTTAAGTTGCTATATTCTTGAGGCTGTTTATTTCTGTAGTTAGTAATTTAAATCTGGAAATGGTTCTTGGTTACTCGGTGATTAAGTGCTATTTACTTATTTGAAATATAAAATTGGGCCCTGGTACCTCTGATGTAAAGCAGCTTTTATTGATAGCTGCTTTTGCACAATCCCCCATCCACATGTGTGAACTGCCCTGAGAATAAACTAAAGAGTCTCACGGACATGAATCTCACCCAAAGTCGTAACCCAAAAGCAATATATCCACCAGCCATTACCAGACACAAATACTCTGACTGTTATGGTTACAGAAAAATATTTTTACCTCCACAGAGCATGCATATAAAACGCTTCATTGAACCAAAGAAGAGCAGGACTGGACCTTCAGACTGACATGCGTCCATATAAGGCCATTTTAACATGACCTGCTTTCACTAAATACTAGCAAAGACATAAACGTGTATTTTTAACTTGCACAGAAGCACGGTGACACTTTAGTGAGTTGTGGCCTGTCTTAGTTTTTGTGGTTGTAATCCATCTCCTTTACACCACTGGGTTTGATCCAGACTTGTAAAGCACTTCAATTGCAAGCACATAGATTGCAGCTTCAGTTTTAGCAGCCTGTCTGCGCTATGTTCAGCTAATAATAACTGCACCTCAAAGGCTTTTTAACAACATTATTAGCATCTATAATACCATTTTTTAGCATGTGTTTCTTTTAGGTCAAGATATAATGACTCTCACAACACCAAGTGTCCCTAAGGAAGTTTACACAACATCACCAACAGTGGTAAGTTAACGCAGCTTTACAGAATTGTACTGTATTATTTTTTCAGCATATTCAAACACAAACATTTTTCAAAATAAATTTGGGAATAATATTGTCTAACTGAAAATAGATTATTCCAGCCACAATGTCAGAAACCTAGAAAGAAAAGTTATATAAAGGGCATCTAGCATAAAAGTTATTCAAAATCTTCAAATTTTAGATGCTTTGAGGCTTAGAATTTCCTGAGTTGTTTTATTTTATTATAATAATGTATTCATATTAAATGAAATTTAAAAAAGGAAACACTGTATTTGTGATGTGTGTCCTCTTAAAATCCATTAAGAACACGTGTGAATATTTGTGCTCTATTCTTACTCTATGTATTGAGGAACAGATAGAGACAGGGAAAGTGAAGACAGCTGTTTAGCACCACACTAAATTACTCCCTTTAGATCACAGCGTATGAAAAAAACTCCACACTAAGTCATCTATCCAACAAGTATTTCCGAACTTAGTCAGACTGAACTTCCTGTACATGTTGTTGTTCTATAGAGAGCTGCTGAAGTAAGTCCTCCTGGGGTCAAAGGTGAAGATGTGCAAACTCAAACAGACCAGGATACCATGCCTGTACTGGGGTTCCTACAGGGACTGCCCAATCGGACCATTTCTCAGAACACCGCCAACAACCTCACTCAGGTACTAAAAGCTAGAAATCAAAAGAAATATAATAAGAGAGCAGTGAAATGTATTCTTAAAAATCTATACCTGGCAACCATCCAAGGCTGGGATGATTGCCATGGTCATTTGTGTTAAAGCTCTTAACACAAATGATGAAATGCTGTAAACCTCAACAATGTTATACAATGAGATACTCAATGTTTTGTTTAGATTGACCCTATAGAGGGAAAAGAGTTTACTGGGATCTGTTTCTTTTAAATCATCTATTATATGCTATGTATTGTAGATGTTTACCCTCTACTGAAGTTAGATAAATCAAGTGTACCCCGCACTGTGAGTTGTATTATTTTCCTTTCATAGTCCAGAGACTATTGAGTTTAGGGATTATTTTAACCAAATGCACAGTGCAAAGAAGCCATGATTATAGGTCAAGTTTATTCCACCAAATACCGATTCCTTATGTTCTCACATCAAAACATTGTGAATGAGAAATCAGTCAAGTTCAAATCAGTCAAGTTCAAAGTCCAACAATGCTTAAAGAGTGAATGTATGGTTCTTTATTTCACCCATAAAGCCATCAGTATGGTTTGTTTGTCCATTCATTATGTTCTATCCCAATGACATATATATTTTCTTTCTTTCAGTCGTTTCTCAAAAGTGTAGAAGAGGTGTTGTCCTCTCCTGGGCTGCCAGAGGTAAATTAATTCAGTATGTTATTATGCAATGTATAAATCATGCATTTTTGAGCCTATGTCTTAGATGGGATTTCCTACTATAGTCCCTTCTTCAGATCTCACATGGTTGTTTTTGTAAGATCAAACAGAAACAGATGTGCAAAAATGAAAGCTAATAATTTTGGGAAAAGCAAAGCCCCCAACTCCTCAAGTGTCAGTTTTAACCGCCTATTATCACTTTACTAAAGAGGACATCCAGTACATCTTATTAGCACACCCAATTGATCATGTTTAGAGTATAAGTTTGATTGACTATGCGGTAAGTCACTTTTGCTTAACAAACACTCACATTTGAAGAGCTCTGCTGGCTGCTTTGGTGTTGCAGTACTTAACCTCAGCATCCAACTCACTTTAAATGCAATACTTGTCACAAACTTGGCAATGGTAACTGTAGATGATCATTTATGAAAAACAACACATGGATTCAGCCTTTTTGCATTTATTTTACCCCCAGCATGAAACGTATGATTTATTTGCTTATTTGGCGTACAGTGCCTAGTGCAGTTGTGTTCTTTCTCAAGCATTTTGTGTATGAAATGTGTTTGTAAATTTTATTGTTGATGGTGAATATTAGTTATAAAAGTTGAGCAGTGGAATCGTATTTGCATCATATGACTTTTGGGTCCTCACTGTTTTGCTTTTAATTTTATTTTATTTACTGATACATGATATTTAAACATACCTTTAAAGGTGCACTGTGTAACTTTTTTGGTTGATGGTCCGCCAGGCTTCTTGTCTTCATGGGAATTATTACTGTTTTGCCTTGATTATTCCACAGTATGGAAGTAAATTTGGTAATCACAATGGAGACAGGCTAATGGTCAGATCTATGGAGAAGCAAGCCTGCGCATGGTTAGAATTAATGTTTTTTAGGATATTTTTGAAATATAAAACAACTGTAATTGCACTGATGAAAGGAATATTTGTTAAATGCCCTTCTGTGGAACTCTCCAAGCAAACAAATTTCCATGGAGACAAGCAGGTAGCAGACCCTCCACCGTAGAAGTTACACAGTACCCCTTTAAATAAGAAACATATTAGTAACGAATACAGGACTAACACAATTGCTGCCTTTGGTTTACTTTGCCTCTAACTTCCTGTGGTGAAGCAGCAGTCGTCATCAGTGGTTGGTGGGCTCATAGAGACTGTGGACAGAGTGATGGAGCACATGGCGACCAACCTGGAGCCGGGCCCTAAATCTCTGGTCTCTCTAGGCGGGACGTCTTTTGTAGCAGGTCAGTGTCATGTCACTGTAACAGTTTGCAGTTTGTTTAGACACGCTTCAGGGCTAATAAGATGAAACTTTCAGCTTTTACATCATTAGTTTTTGTATTGGGAGGCCAAACGCAGATTCACTTAGCAACAAACCACCTCCATCTGTCATCCCAAGGGAGCTTTTTTTCACTTCTTAGATAATTTATTGATTTTCATGCAAGATTTGTTTTTGCAAATTGGTTAGTTCTTTGGGTGTGATGTTAGGTGATTGTATTCACAGCAAAAAAGTTTCAACAGAACTTGCATATTTGTTGTTATAGTCATAAAAAAGTGCAAAACGAGTCTCTATATATATTAGACTTGCTCCAGCCTTATTAACCAGAGGCTGAGGGGTATGGTGCTTTTATGATGTTGTATAAATATACTTTACATTACTCTGTGTGTTACTCCTTCAGATTATTCGCTGACGAAATTCCCCCAAAACTACAACCTCCAGCATTACCGCTTCCCAATTCAAGGCAAGAACTACATCTCAGTGCCCGGCGAGGCTTTCACCATGCAGTGTGAGTGAACATATTACAAATGTCCTCTTAGACCTTTTTAAACTCAACTGTTCTGCAGCTTTTCTAGGTTAAGTGTGAACACTATGCCATTAGCCCTGTGCTTTTTTATGCCAGGGGAAAACTGTGCCTCCGGGAAGCTTTTATTATTAGGCAGTAATTTACGATGCTCAGATTTAAGACTATGAGCACAGACAATATACAAGAGTACCACATTGAGGGCCTTTGTTTGTCTTTATAACCAGCTATAGAGACTCAGGCATGACTTTAGAGTTTTCTGCCCAATTAATACTAATGTGTAATAAAAGACATTTAAACACCCCCAGCATATGTATGACTGCCAGTCTGCCATAACTGTTTTTGTGTTAAAGATTCTCAAAGTAGGCAAATAAAGGTGATATGAATATACTTTTGTTATAATGAGAGTCACATGAAATATCTTCTGATCTAATTTAAATTAACTGTGTAAGTTTTCTGGTGGTTGGTCAGCCACCATAACGATGTTATTGCTTTGCCCAAAGCATTATTCAAATGCACTTAGAATACCTTGGAAAAACATGCATTCTTACTGTAAGCGGCAGGTTCACCTCTCTCATTTGACCTGCCTGGTGGCATTGACTGCTCCACTGAGATGGATAAGTAAAATGCCATACTGTGAAACATCCCAGGCATGTCATAATGTCTAGAAAAGCAGATTGCTTTCCAGCGGAAAAGTTCACCTCAAGTGCACTCACTTTAAAGTAACCTTAGTCAATCAATATGTATTTTGAGCATATTGAATTCAGAAAAAAAAATAAAATAAAATAATGTCCATCAATCAATTTTCCTGTTATATTTGGGGTCTAAATTGAGGGATACATCATGGTTTAATATTTTAGACAGGCAATCTTATCTTGGGTTCAGTAACTGCTTCCAACTGAAGCCTGAAGATACGGCACAAAACTTTAAAGTTTGTAGTTTAACTTTGAAGGTAACTGTTCATGTAGTTATTGACAGAAGTTTAAATATATATATATATATATATATATATATATATATATATATATATATATATATATATATATATTATATATATATATATATATATATATATATATATATATACATATAAACTCATTGTTTTAAAACCTTAAAATGCATTCTAAATTTTTTTTTCCTGCCAATTTTATTTGAGTGAAAACGTATTACAGTCTGCATACCTGTGGGTTGTTTTATGCCCTAATTAGGTGAAGGCGAAGAGTGAACTCTTGCATTGCTAATACTTTAGGCTTGACATTTCTCCAGCCCTATACAAAGAAAACAGGCTGAAGTCATGTTAAAAAAGATGATGAAAACATACTTTCTTTAGTGTCAGTATTTATCCAACATAGCTGAACCTTAGGATCACAGGTCAAAAGCAGGATTACCTGTTTGAATGGTGAAGTCACAGAAGATCTCAGCTTGGAGCGTGGTCTGTTCCTCTCTCCCTGGCACCCCTGTGCGACTAAAGGGCTGTGCTATTAGCCTGTCTGTGCCAGCGTCAGACGGCACGATGGCGTTAATTAACTTCTAATGTGACTGAGTATTTTAACAGATTCCTATCACATTCCTCGCCTCCTGTTCATGATTTTGTCTGTGTTTTTATGCGCAGCTCAAACTACAGTTGTTGGCCTCTTCTATCACAATATGCACAAGTACTACAAAGAAATCAGCCCATTCAAAACAAGGTAAGATCTATGAACTCATAACCCATAAACGTATTTAATAGTTTGATGTATAAATGAATTTGATTATGTTGGAATGAGTATATTTAAAAGAAAAAAAATCTAAATGCAAATGATCAAACTTTGAATTATCAGAGCTTTTTAGATGCTTAATAGAATAAATAATAGTATAATATAATGAAATAGTCTAAATAATAAATAGTAGTAGTATAAATAATAATATTGCAGTACTCCTATATAGCACTTTTCCAGAGGCTCACATTTGCAATGCAATTTGGTGCATTATTTATTCATTCCATACTGCCCTGAGGTAGACTGACAGAACAAGGCTGTCAATCTGCCCTTCCAACCACCATCAACACACAGCGGCTGTTTTGCCCCAACATGGCACCTGATATTCACAATGATCTCCCAACCAGGCCCAACCCTGCTTATCTTCTTGACTTGGAGGTTTCACCACAAGTACATTGGAGTATTAACACATTAGACTTAAATTTATGATGCCTGACATTTTGCGCCAATGGTCACTCAGCGGTCATAAGACTTGTTCTTTACTTGATAAAGACATTTCAACTATCTGTATTTATTTATTGATGAAACAAACAACTGTAAACATCTCTTTGTACTTCCTGTGCGGTAAGTCCAGGCTCTTGCATCCTGAAGTACAAAACAGCTAATGTCCCGGGCCACTAGCTTATCTGTCCCTCGTCCTATCTGCCATCTCAGCACCCAAAGGCCTGACTGATACACCCTGCTATTAGAGCTGTGTCCACTGAAGCATGGGTACCCCTCCAAATCTGAACTGTTTATACTGTCCCATAGAGACATGCCCAATTATAAGACACCTTTGATTTGATAATTTCAGTTAAAATGTTAATTGGCAAGGTTTGGGGAAATTACAGTTAATGTCTAGTATATTAGATACTTTTCATTATGTTACATACTTACAAAAGTGCATCAGCAATATTTACCAAATATATCTGAATTTATCCAAATTTCACTTTGTTACTTTCCTCTATACAAGTACAAGTTTTTTGTAATCTACCTTTGCATGATATACAATGTTGTTAAATAATATTGTGGGATTACATGCCACATTCCCAGTCCACTGCATTATAATAGAGAGGTGATGCTTGTGTGAGGCCTGTGCCACATATCAGAGGATCCTGAAAAAGTACAGATACTATTGCTGACTGTGGAAGTATGCTCTCAGAAAGGCCCTGCTGTTGAATCGTGGCTCATGTGTTAAACTCATGTGTCTAGTATGTGTTTGCCAAACAAATTACCTTTATTTGTATGGCTGTAAGCAGTTCAGTAATTCTGGCCAACGATGAATGCATTTGATCACTTTTAGTGCTTGATCAACTTGTAATGGCTGACAGTAGCTCTTGTAAAATGCCCCTTTTGTTCTTTTGGATGCACTACTTAATTCTTACCAAGTCTTGCATACGGTAGATGTAGTTGGAGTAATAATGTGCAGTATTAACATAAACAAAATTTATATACTGTTGAAAACATGACAATTTCACTCATAAATAAAGTCACTAATTACTTTGTCTTTCACTAGTGGTTAACTGGCTTTTCTCTTAAAGGATTTGGGAACATACACTATATATGTCACAACAAAGCTTCAAACTCTTAGAATATTTTATGTATTCACTATTCCAGAGCTGTAGGCCTTTAGTCGTTCATTTGATCTGTTGCTTGATACATGAGTTTTAACTCACTGTCAATGACTGATAAGTTTGTGTTTACACTAAATGTATGTTCATTTGATTTTGTGTAGGATCAATGAAGCCACGGACTTTAAAGATCATAAGATCCAAGTTGCAAGTAACCTGATATCCCTGAAAGTGGAGCCATCTCCTGCCTTGTCAATTAACCTTTCCGGATCCCCGCTAATCAAAATCGTCCTCACCCACACTCTGGTAAGAATTAGGATTTAATACATGTAAATGCAATGCTTTTTATCTGCACAACGCAAAATATATTCTAACGCTACTGTTATTTTAATTTAAATTTTTAAGTATAAAATCTGTGATGAACGATGAACTTGAAAAGTGATTTTCTTTCTCTCAACAAGTCATCCTTTCTTTCCTCATTATTATTTTTGGTACACATAGGTCTAAACATATCGTACTCCATACAGACAGCATTATGGCCATCCCGATTTTTGTTACAGTGGCAACTATAAACCCACCACACTTTAGGGGCGTGAGAGACCAGTCTTATCTAAGGGAAGCAGGGAACTATTTGCTTGTGGCTCTTGTACTTGTACAGCCCATATAAGAAATCTGACAGCTTCTATTTTGGTGGTCATCTCTTATGCAAGAAGTGTCTATCACTGCTTATGCGCTTACACAGCTGGGTTCACACAAGTTGAAAAAAAAGCCTACACTTTGGTTTGCTAGGCTGAATTAGCTGGGCTGAATTTTCCTTTGTAGAGCATGTGGCCTCCAGAAAGCAAATTGATTATGGACTTTGAAAAACTCTGCATGCTTGGGGGCAGTTTGTAAGGAACAACAATATGCTATTATATGAGTAACATATTTTCTCTTTTTTAGTTTATGACAGGGGCTGAGGCAGTTTTCCATGGGAACTCCTTTAATGAGAATCAAGTTTAAAGTCTGTGTTGCATTTGGTTTTGTTTTAAAGTGACTATTGTGCTTTTGACAGCCATATGGTTTAGCAAGTGCACAACAAAACAATGGCAGTGACACAATCATATCAATGAATGGTGCATTGTGTTTTAGTTAGTCCATTTGTGGTAATTAAAAGCCAGTTCCTATTATGTTGTGTTGTTACATTCACAATGATACAATTAGAGAAATCTTGCATTTTGAAATCATGGCAGATTTCTTTCTGTTTTTACAAGAAGGTAAAGCTGCAAATATTGTGTTGGAGCCTGTAAATGATGTACTTTTAAAAGCCAAAGCAACAGGAAAGATTTTACAACTTTATGGGATTACAGGCTCCATAAAATCTCTGTAATGGCAATGGTACTTTTAACTATAATATACATTTTTCTATGGCCCAAACAGACAAGAAAGCAATTTTCCCTTCTAGCTATTGTGTAGCACATCCATTCTTAAAATTGTGGCACTTCTTGCCCAGTACAGTGAATTTTTCCTCTCACATTAAAGCAGTGATTACTTTTAATAAAGCATGGTGTAATGGCTGCACATGCCAAAACTTTTATGCTTAACTTTGCTTCATAACTTTGATGATTTATATTTAGGGGTGGTACAGTCTTTTGGCGTGCAGTTATGTGGGTGAGTATAAGTCATAGAAGTTTGTAGTGGTTTGCTCCATAGACCTGTTGTTAGTCAAAAACAGACTATTTTGGGAATTTTAATGACTTTGGCAGCTGGTGAACACTTATCACCTCTCTCAGATGGAGCCAGGGAGTTTAGTACATGCAGTACAGTATGAGGCAGACCTTTTCTGTCATTGTTTATGCTGCTTTTTAGTGTCTGCACAAGAGTGGGTTTAAAAGTGTCACTCCTGGCCTCAGTTGTGTGCTGATTTGCAACTGTCCTGTCAAGTTGACTTCATTAAAAGAGACCTATAGTGGTTTGTGGCAAGACACCCTGGTTACAGTGACTTGGGGGTGTTGTACAGAAAATACAGTGTCCTGCAAACATGTATCAGCAACACAATGTTAGCATAATGATATGTATAGACTAATAAAAAAAACAACATAAAACTACTCAAATGGTAAATAGACCAAGACCTCTGCATTATGTCATCCCAAAAACAATTTCACTGAAGACAAAGCTAGATGATGTTTTGAAGAAGTGATTACAGCTCTTTATTTTGATTCAGATAAATGTTATGTATCTGTACTTTTGATTGTGCAGATACATAACAATGGAAAAATTTATAAAAATAGAAGACTAAAATTAGAATAATCAAAGGGGATAAACTTTGCCAATACACCAGTCCTAACAGTGTTTTGAATAATGTTTTCATTCCTGACCTCAAACTTTGATCTATGGATAACGGCTGCATTTTAACAACTAATTTTTGCACCGCACAAAAGATTTGTACAGAACTGTACTTCTCTAATCTTTTCCTGTATCTTGACACCTGTCTTGATAACACACATCATTATATGAATTGATGGAGGTCACACTTGTAGATGCAGTGTCCTGGTGGCCTCATTTTGTTGATGAATGCCCAGTTTTGGTCAATGAATCAAACCAGTGAGGTCAGGCCATTCCCAGCTGGTTGACTCACCCGTGTCTCTGTATGTTTGATATGCATAGTTTTATCAAGGCAGCTAAAAACTCACAAGCTTTCTCACGGCATTGGCCTGAGGTGTTGATTAGACCCTGGCTCCATCAGTGATTTATAGCAGCTATCTGAGTTTCGAGATGCCTAGAGAGAAGAAAGAGGAGTTTGGGAGGAGTTGGTGGTCTGTGGTTAAACATTACATACATTGTCCTCCCTGTCTGTGCCCCATCACACTGAAACTCATACTGAAACATACTGAAAAAGACTGAATATTTTTTTGATATTGTGTTTTATTAAAATGTCTCAATGTTTTTGGCATTGTAGATCAGACATGGTGCTAGCATGGATCTATAATAAGAACATGGGTGCCAGGTATATGTTTTTGTTTACTTCATTTTTATTTTTATAACTTTTTTCTATTTTATTTGTAGTTGTACATATGCATTTATATAATCATGCCTTGTTTGACACCAGTCTCTTGCTATTTTTGCTACTTATTTAGAATTTATTATCACCATTTATATTTTTTCTCTTTATTGTAATATATTGTGATGTGTGAGCTACTGTGTCCAAATAATTTTCCTTGTGGGTCAGTAAAGTTTGTTTAAGTCTAAGTAAGTCTAACTTTGAATAAACACACTGTAGTTTGCTGTAATTTCCTGGTACATTGCATCATCACAATTGTTTTTTCCTTCGGTTTCATTCAAAACACCTTCAGTGGACTTTTAACTTAATTTACATAAATTCCAATGTTTCTTATATTTACCGTAGTTGTTTTTTTGTCTTGAATAATCACCAACTCTGACAGTTTATAATGATTACATGGTTCAGTGCATAAACAGTCAATTCTAATGGCTGAAATTATTCTGGTCATAGTGATGTTTTTATCTGCAAAAAAAAAAAAAAAGTTATTATTTATTATTTTTATTATTTAGTTATTATTTAGTTAAAGTTATTGTTGGTAATTTTCAATAATAACACACTTAATAATAATACACTTGTAATATAAAATAATTCAAGCTGGTGTATCTAATTATGAAGTACCTTATATTATTTTATCTAATTTGATGCAGCATGTAGGTGAGCAATTTAGGCTTAAAGCAGAAGCTGTGGTTCCTGAATTATAGGAGAATGTGTTGTTTTGGACATACTGCACTTTATTCTTAGTATTTACAGTAATCTCCCATTTCCATACATTTTGCAGTATCTTGTGGCATGAGGGGAAATCTGGTGGAAGGAAGGGAAAAGGTCAGGCCTAGACACATCTCTTTGTTTCTGGTTTGTGTTTACAAAAATGTCTAGACTTGTTGGAGCTCTTTAAAGCAATACATTGATATAGTAAGATTTAAAAGGTTACAGCACATTCTGATCTTTGAGCTTTAATCATTGTGTTGTGTTTTTGAGAGCCAATAAGATATCAGTTCATTTTGCCACAATAATAAGCACTTTTCATTGGCAGTCTTTTTATAGCTTGCGGCATACGCCCAGTTTAGATGTTGTGGGCAATGGCTCTCCTCTGCTCTTCTACCCCTGCAGACCCAGCATGCGTACAGCTATACACATGCAGCCAATGAGAGCCAACACCCTGATCAATCACAGATGGAACAGAGGCAATGCCAAAAGAACTCTACATTTGGACTTCATCTCTGACCACTCCTCCCATTTAGCACCCTTGTCCCATCACCACTCCAGGACCACCATCTTCTGCTAAAACAAAACAGATATTAAGTCTTGGCCCATTGGAAAATATTTTGTCTTATGCTTGAGTGAAAAGCGTTTAACATCAATATGCAACTACAGGCGGATCAAATTTCACTGGCTCCATTTTACGCCACAATGAGTAATCAAGACGTGCACAAAAGGAAAAGTAATGTTATTTCAAATGGCTAATGACTCATGTAGAAATAAAAGTGACTCTCCAAATAATTTCTTCAATATTTAGTAAATAGACTTCACAAGTTCTGAGTTACTATGGAAAAATGGGGACTTGGGAATTCTTTTAGGTGTAAAGTACTTTTGACAAATAAACACTTTGCTAACATCATACTTTTACTCATACTGGATTCATATATTTTGCGCTGTACAGTACTCTTACTTGAGTAAAAGTTAACAAAAGTTTTATGTTGTAAATGTGATATGATTTTAACATTTGGCTACTCTACCCCCCTCTGTTTATCAGGGCTTATTGCTAACCCAAATCAATAACATTGTTTTCATGTGATATGTGGGAAACGTTTTTCTCCTTCTGAATACCACAACTTACTAAGAAGTTGGTGTATTTCGACCAAAACTTGTAAAGCCTTTATGGACAAAACAAAGACTATCCCTTTATATGTTTATAAAATCAGATTAGCCATAACCACTCACCTCCATCAAAACTAACAAAAGTGCAGCGGTGGTCGTCCCATTGTTTTGAGTGTGTACCTCCAGGACGGAGCGGACCACAGCTGCACCTCTTATGACTGCTCCCCTGACACCATGAGCTCACTCCAGGCTCATATTATTGCTCCACATGTTGTACAGTAAGGCCCAAGTCTGAATGAAAAGACATGGAGGCCTGGACTCCGTCAGGGGCACCTCGCTTGGTCACTTTGGTGTTCAAAACGTGTGACCCACAAGGGGATTTAAGCATGTTTTTTATAAGTTTGAGAGTTGAGTACTGTTATACTGTCTGCCATTGTACCTACCCCAG